AAGCCTCTACAACTACATTCTTTAATACATACTATTACATACAATTTTATACTATATCTAAAGTCACTTCTATTATACCTTAAGAATCCCTATTATCTTATGCTTAGTAATTAACTAGATTACATAAGCTCTATTCATTATACCTATACTATATATAAAGGGTCCCTTAATTAGCCGACAAGTAGTTTAAGTTTATAAAAGAAAAAAAAGAGATATAAAAATTAAGAAAAATAAGTCTTACTTAAATAATAAAAATATAGTAGCTAAGTATTTACTTTTATATTAATTTATATATTATAAAATAAAATTACAAAATAATATATATATTTATAAAGAGTATAAGCAAATATATAAGTTTAAGTAAGTATTTTATATAATATTAAAGTTAATAATAATTATAAGATATATATAGCAATTAACTATAATTATAAAGATATATATAGCGCTACAGCAAATCAGCAGAATGCAAATTTAGAAAATTATAGTAGCAGCATTTGCAGATGCGAGCTAATGTGCGACCGTAAACCGCGCCTGCTGCTGCGTGTGCATGCTTGGCATCTGGGTTCTGATTCTGCGCCTGCAACCTGCATCCTGGGCACGCAGGGCTCGTAATGACATGCACGTACGACGTATGCAAGCGTGCGTGCGTGCGTGTGCTTGCCGTGACGCAAAACCGCCGTGGGTGGTGCCACTGCAAAGCTTGTGCTGGTGTATTTACTCGTGGTGGGCTGTTGGCTTTTTTTTATTTTTATTTCCTCGTCAATCAACTTGGCTTTTTTCTGTCTTGACTTGCGCGACCCAAGGTGTCTCGTGTCCTGGAGGGGAGCTGGGCCTGTTCGTTCCTTCCTCCTTCCTTCCTCCTTCCTTCCCCACCCCCTCTTGTCTTGGTTCTAGTTTGTCGAGTGCGGGGGAGGGGGCATGACTTGATGGCGCATCTTTGTTTCTGCGGTTTGGGCGGGCTGAAGCCACATGGTAACTTGCAGTGAGTGGGCATCGACGCTGCGACGGCTGGGGAGCCTCGCAAATGAAATGGTTTGGTGTGCCGCGCTTCTGTCTCTGATTCTCTCTCTTTTCATAGCTCTTGGTTTTGAGACTGCCCTGCAGCTTTGATGCTGGTGCCAATCATCATCATCATCATCATCATCATCATCGTCACGGGTGGACATCTGTCGGCTGCACGACACACGGGCTGACGGCGAGTCTCGAGGCAATGCAGGTAGCTTTGGGGGCCTTGATGCCGCCCAAGTAATTCGTAGCTGGGGACGGCCCCCTCTGTTGTTCTCGCATCTTGCATCTCGCATCTCGCATCTCGCATCTCGCGTCTCGGTCCCCCACCTCCCGATTCAGAGTTTGGACCATGACCGCCATGGCTTCACCTCCCGACGTTGCTCGGGGGTTTGGTGGCTTTGGATTACTGGCCGCCTCCACCCAATCTGATTACTTTTCTTCTGGTCGAGCTTGTCTGCAGGCGTAGGTTGGGAACTCGTGGCGTGGCCCGGCCGGCATCTAGTCGCCGTTTGGGTCGTGCAGAGTTTGGGCTGGGCGGCGCCCAGTGCGGCGGCATGCGGGACAAGGCCGATCTGGACTATAAAATCGCTGGTCTAGCACCCGTGGCAGCGGTACATCTACGTACCGCCGGGGATGGGGGCGGTTTGAGTGCAGCTCGAGGCCCGTGATGCATGATAATGTGGCCTTGGGACTGTCTGTATGCGAAGCGACCGTAGATGATGAGACACGCTGCGCTCCTGAGGCCGTCGTGAGGTAATAAGGAAAAGAAGAAGGACAAGGACAAGAGAAGAGAAGAAAGCAAGAAAGGAAGAAGGAAAAAAAAAAAAAGCACCACGCACAAATCCAAACCCCAGCAATGCACACGACGGGCGGGAGACAGTAGCGCGTTCAAAGACCGGCATCACTACAATAAGGGAGGAACTAAAGCTGGACGTATACAAAGACACAAGGCATCCCTGCTTCTCGGACTCTGGCTGCTCTCTAGATGCTCGGGCGGATTGAATTGATTGACGTGCGACGGACGGGTACCAGAAGATTGATAACTAGTATCTTTGGGGAAAAAAGTGTGACGGGCGTGACAGCACTTGGGCGTAGGGCCAGACCGGGGTGGAGGTGGAGGGTGTGTGGCTAGTGGTCGCGGAGAGTCCATGTGGGTTTGGGGTTTTCGATAACACTGTACTCCGTACGGAATATACTACTCCGGGGCTACGTAAGTACTTCCTCGGTAGTAGTATTACTACAGTAAACCATGTCTATAACGATCCTGTGTTATAGCGAAATTCAGGTTTTTACGATAATTCACAGTCATCTAAGGTTTTTCCCTAGTAAATCGTTAATAGTCGCGTTACTAACGATATCGCTGACTTTTTGCTTAGTCACTATATATTTTATCGTTATAAGGCCCCACTTTTATAGGCTGGGACTCCTTATAGTGGGGCTGAATTTCCTTATAGTGGGGCTAAATTTTGCTGCTTTCTCTTAATATATACTTTTTAACATTCTTAGGTGTAATTTCCTAGTAAATATAATAAAAAGTACAAGCCCCACAAAAGTCGCACCTTAACGATAGTCGCTATATAACGATTGAAAAAGGCCCACGAAGGATATCGTTATAGACCTGGTTTACTGTACTAGTTAGTATTGCAGCCGAATTGGGTAAGGGTATTTGTTTATTGGGCCGCTGGGCCGCTGACAAACCTCAGCCGCCGCCTTTGTTCGTGCAATGCGCAAGTATCCGCGCTGGAGTTGGGCGGTTTCAGTGGGCACGGGACATCTGTCTGTGTCTTGATATATTTCAGGTCATTTCATCCAGTCATCCATGTGCCAAGGGCCGGGGCGAAAAATGTCTCAAAAAACAACAAGACGAAGAAGCGCCATGCCTGCGCGGCGTCATGCGTGATAGAGCTGCGTACAGTAAATACTTGAGTACGTACTCGAGTAAGTACGGAGCAGTAAGACATGGCATGGCGCACTCGGGTCGTAGGAGCACGAGCACCACCACACACGCGGCCGAACCAGCAGCCCTCGTGTTTTGTATGCAGTGGCATGCAGTGTCGGACATGGGATGGGACACGGGCCACTGAACCTTGCGACCTGCCAGGCACTTCTCTGCTCGTGTACGGAGCACCTGGGCGGGCAGTCAGTCAACTTGGACTCGAGTGCCGCATGCGCATGTGCATGTACGTACGTACCGTACCGAGCATCCTCATTCTCACCTGACATGCCGACATGATGCCGCAAAAGTCGGTGACCCGGGGACTCCAACGTCGGGCAATCAATCAGTGTCCGTCCGTCCGTATTATTTGTTATTGCGCGCCATGACATCACTTGCTGGTCCCCTGGTTCCTGGTTCATACGAGAGCCGGGGGCGAAACCACCTTGCCCCATGGACAGACAGGCCTGCTCAAGGTAGGCATGCATCAAAGGCTTCTAGAAGGCGGTGCGTTGAGAAGACTCTGCACAGATTGTGTGCAAGGTTGTGTGGTTGGGGCGAACTGGCTTCATCCTCGTCATGCGTTGACCAGTGACCGACCACACACGCCGAGATGACACGTGCGAGGGCGCAAACAAGAGGGCAGTCAAGACTGCATCTACGCCGGTCACGGCACGACACATGACATGGCGAAATGCATACCTACTGCAGTTAGGCAGGGAGCTCGGCGTACGTGGCGGCTGCTCCCAAAGGTGATGCCGGCATCGTCATCGGCGGCGAATGCCCGTCGACTCACTCCGCGTCCATCTGGGTCCTCAGCCGCCAGGCCTCGCCGTTACGATTTTGCGCCCAACGTGGCAGTAGTCAGTCCCCTTTGCCTACATGGGCCCTGCCGTTTGGGCTGGGGCGCGGGCTCGTATTTGCCATCTCGGCGAATGTTTCGCACGTCGCGCAGCGCTGAGTCTTGCAATGCCTGCCGAGTACGGAGTGATTGCCTGGCAGCTCAGCAGCGTCTTGTCGTCCTTTCTTGGCTTGCTTCTCGGCTGCCTCGGCGGGACAGGCGGCCTGGTATGCATGAGACACCGGGCATTGCAGAAAAGAGAACAATCCATCATTCATTCCTCGTCCTGGTATGCATGAGACACCGGGCATTGCAGAAAAGAAAACAATTCATCATTCATTTCTCGTCCTGGTATTTGCCAAACCAGCAGAACGCCCCTGTGCCTGCCCCAAACCGGCTGCACGTCTAGACTCCCGTGTCCGTTGGCTCCTCCAAATGTCCCGAAACGAAAAACACCACGCGCAGTCGTGCAGCTCCGACTGCAATCCTGTCCTCTTCCCGAGACCGGCTGTGCCTACGTCCCAAGGTCCAGCACCTGCCTGAGCACGTCCTCGCTCGCTCGCCACCACCGCGCCCGTTGCTCCAAGTCGTCCGCTACGCCGCCGAGAGAAGCCTCCCTTCTCCTCTGGGCTTCCTGTGCCGCGGCGGTGCTGCTCTGGAGCTTGGCCTCCAACGGCCCCAGCTCAGCCTGCAGGCGTTGCGCTTCCTTCTGTTTTCTAGGCACCTTGGCTTGCAGGGCCTCGAGTTCTCGCGCCAGTTGCTGTTGCTCGGCTCTGCGCCGCTCCACTAGGCCGAGCGTCTTGGCCAGAGGCAGGTTCAGGTCGGGGTTGGCACCCGGGGACTCTTGCGCTGCCCTCAGCCGCTCGACCTGCGCTTCGAGCTCCCGCGTTTTGGCTGGCAAGTCTTGCAGCTTGGTCGCGTCCAGCTTGACGGCTTCATACCGCCGGCTGAGCTCCCGCCCTCTCCTCTCGAGCTCCGTCACCATGGCCGCGACCTCCTGCTTGAGCGCCCTGAGCTCGGCCTTGGCTTCTGCGTTGTCCTTTTCCAGATCGACATTCTCCTGCATCGCGACGATCAGCGGAGGGTCGCCGACGATTGCGCGGATAAACTTTTCCTTGGTGACCTGCTCGACGTAGGAGAATCGCAGCTTTGCAAAGAGCTCCGTGTAATGGGCCAGGTCTGCTTCGAGGCCCGCCGGCGTAGGGCCATCGAGAAGCGAGTTCGACGCGTCGGATGCGCGGGGCCGCGAGTTTTGTTCCGCAGCATCCGTGATGGTTTCGCCGAGTCTGATGATGGATATCTCTTGTTTTGCTTCCAGGCGCCGCAGCGCCTCGAGCGCTCGCGTCGCGTCGGCAGCGGTCATGGCGGACAGAGGGGGGGGCAAAAAAAAAAGAGAGAAACCCGCTTCTGGGATTATTGCGCTATCGTCAAATTGATTTCGTGGTAGACTTTCATGTTCCCTCCTCGTCTGGATTTCCTCGTGACTCCGGACGTAGATGTCCGCAGGGCGTGTGGTTGGTGAGACGAGTTGTTTTGACTTTGAAATCAGCATCTCCATTAAGTTACCGTTTGGGCTGAACCCGGCTAGCGCATGTGACCGTCGGCTGTCGGACTCGCCTCGACCTCAGCCCATGCGTCGAGAGCAGTGTCTCCCCACCTTCACCTTCACCTTCACCTTTACCTTCACTCGTCCCTGGACGCCGATTTCTTTTGCTTCGCACCTGCCAGGGGGATTGAGCCATCTATTCCTGGCCCGTGTCCGGTCGATTAATCCAATGCCCAACAATCAACTCCTCACGGATGATTACGTGGCCGGTCTCCTGGCGCAGGATGCCAGGGACTGCTCTTTAAAATACTCGGCCATGGGAATGGAAGCCTTCCGTGACAGAAAAAAGTACGTCGAGGCCCCCGACATGTGACTGGCGCTTCTGGTTCTGACGGGACGCAGGCCTTCCAACATGCCCAAGCCGAATACGCGATTCCTGCGCCACATCATTAGGGACACACACACACACAACAAGGCCCTGGTCGCAAAGGAAGCCGCCGAGTCGAGGGCGAGATTGGAAGACTTTGAGTATGCCGAGGAAGTGAAGCGGGAGAGGACAAAGCCCGACGCGATGAACGTACGGAGGCGTCAAATGGGCGACATCCAGGCTATTCTCGGCGGAAAGACTCGGCGGCGTGAAAACGGCGGCGGATCGGACAGATCAACTCGCCGTGACAGATGTGAGAGCAGGGATCGCTACGAAAAGAACAGCGGGACGAGAAGAAGTGGTTCAGTCAGACTCGGTGACGACAAGCAACCCCATCGAGGGCCCTCGTTGCGCGACCACGCCGATTGCGATGCCGAATCTACGAGGGACGATGGGGGAACATATCGACGCAGCAAACACCACGCATCGTCTGGTGAGGAGGACAGTCGACACAGACATGGGAGATCACGAAGAGACGGTAGATCGAGGTCACCGAGGCGGCATCAATCGTCCTGTTCACCCGACAGTCGAAAACGCAGTCACAGGCAACGCTTACATGATGGATCAAGGCCAAGGGACTCTTCGCATGCGCGGAGGAGGAAGAAGCCAAGCCCGCCGCCGGCGTTGGATCAGGATTCAGACCCATTAGAAGACTTGATAGGACCGCCGCCGCCTCCAAAATTCCGCGGTCGGGGGACAATAGGTGGTGCGGCAGAACTGGATCGTCGCTTTTCGGCGTCGTACGACCCAAGATTAGACGTGCAGATTGATGAGGATGAAGAAGACACCTGGGGTGATATATTAGAGTCGTTTAGGGATCGGCAGAAACTCAAATTGCACCAAGACCAGAGGCTGAAGGACGCCGGCTTCACAGAGGAGGAAATCCAGCGGGCCAAGGGGACTGCCACGAATAAGACGGGCGAGCAGGTGGTTTGGTCAAAGGCCGGGGAAAAGCGGGAATGGGACAAGGGCAAGGACTTTGGGCTCGATGGTGCTGAGGACGACAGGCATCCCCCGACTCTGTTCTCAGAGGACTACTAGGAGAGTAAGGGGGCGGCGCGGTTCCATTTGCCAGTGTCGAGCTGCGTTGGATGAGTTGACAAATCTTGGACAGGCGGCGTCGTGGGCGTGACCGTCGGATTGGGCTGGCATACTCGCGATTACAGGTCAACACTCACTTGCATATACGTAGACAAGTTTTGTGATTGCGGGGAAGTGACGAATCCATGCCTTGTCCGCGAAGAGCGAACGACAAAAGGCTACGTGTGCGCCGGCGAGTTTGCTTCGTGACGTGAAATGCGATGCGGTGCCGGGGCAAGCATCTCCACCAGGGTGTACCATGATCCCGAAAGTAGTCGCCGGCTGCAGCGCGGGACGAGGAGGAGAAGACGCGCGACGAAATCCGTCGGGGACCGTAATCAGCAGAGATGGGGGCTGTTTGCTGGACAGCTTGCCGTTCCGACAGGCTCGACCTCGGCGAGGCTCAGTCGGGCCATTTTGCGCGGGAGTAATTCGCTGACAGGAGTCACGGCGTCGTCACAGCGTCGGTCTGGCTGCCGCGGCAAAGGCTGGGGTGTGATTTGGGTGGGATTTCGGCTCGTCGTAGCGTCTGTGAAATTCCCAGATGCCGTTTTGGTGAGGTGCACTGCGACTTCGTGGCAGCCCGTCGACCGGTTCCGACCTTGAATCGAGCCACGTGAGCGCCGAGGGCGGGATGCTGGACGTCAAATATTGATGCGTGACGCGGGCAGGGTCTTGGCTCTTGGTGAGGACAAAAAAAGGGGCGCGGGGCTGCTTGGTATTGGAGCGATTGACATTTGGACCAGTTGACGTTGTCGATGTTCGAACATCGGGTCGCTGACTGGCTGAGCCAGTGGCAGAGGGTGGTGGTGGTGGTTGTGTTGGCGTGTTGTTGTTGTTTTCGTCGTCGTCGTCGACGACGACGTGCTGCTGCTGCTGCTGCTGCTGCTGTTGTTGTCTGCATTCATCAATGCTCAAGCAGCCCGACTGAGATGCCGGCATTCCAGGGATGCAGGGCAAGACGACCTCCGTGTCAGCTTCACCAGCCGACATGTGCAGGCTTCTCCTTGTAGCCTGGAAGGTCACGACTCGGACTCATACTCATGCTCAGGCTCAGACTCAGACTCAGACTCGCCAGTCACTGGTACGTCCGACAGTTGTTCCGCGGCACCGCTGCGCCGCCCGCCGTTCTTGGGAGCGCAACCCTGGTTGGCTGCCTCACATAATGCTGCCCCATGCCCATGTCTATGCCGTCGCCTGCTTGACACGCCAGGCTGCTGCTACTCCGTACTACTACTAGTAGTGCGGGTACCATGGACTTGGACCACGGACCCGTCCTGCCGTCACACCACTCCACTCCACCACTCCTCCTCTCCTCCTCTCCTCCACCACTCAGATCAACCTCCAACCACTCCTCTCCTGCTCCTCCTACCTTCATCACCTCCAGTCGCCTTGGCCTTCATTGTCGTTGGCCTCCTCGATTCCTGCTCCCGTCTCCCTCGCCGTACCAACCGCTAGCTTCACCTTTTATCGTGCCGAGTTACTGTGCCCTTGTTGGCTCCTCCCATCTCCGACCCGACGGACGGTCCAGCTACCACTCGATCCGCACTGCATTTGCCGCACCGGCTCGCGCAACGCCCTGACCTTGACAGCTCGCAGCTCGCAGCTTGCAGATGAACGGCGTCGCTGGCTGACGGCATCGTCGTCGACTGCACGCCGGATGACGGGACGACGACCACAGCGACCACAGCAACTACAGTCATTACGAGCACGCTTACCACGAACCAAAGCATCTCTCGCGGGCCTTCCATCTCACCCCTCCTCGTCTCGCCTCTTCTAGGTCCACGGATATATCTGCACTGGTGCCGCTTGTGGCCCAGAACCCGACAATACCATGCGCACTCCACGGGTCGCCATACTCGTTTTTTCCCTCGCTGCCTCTCTCTTCATCGTATTCCGCGCTGTAACAGCCTCCCGAACCACCGTGGTCGCTGCGTATCCGCCTGCTTCTGCGACGTCAAAGTCCGTCTTTAGCTTCATGTACTATAATACTCCATTTTCTCTATTCCCACCAAACGCCGCCATCAGCTTGACCGACGACAACAGCACATCCTTCGCCGCTCGGCCTGCAGCCTTCGGTCCCAAGTTGGCTTCCTCGGGCCTAAGTGGTCAGCTCTGGGTCGGCAGTGGCTTCGGCGAGGATAGTTTGGATGGTGATGGAGAGCTTGGGTGCAGCGATTTGCCTGGCTGGGGCAGCTCAAATACGAGAGCGTCTCTGAAGAACTCTTTCAAGGTTGGGTCCACGAGGGTCACTTCGGCGAAGCTCAAGATGCCCAAAACAGGAGCCTCTTTGCTTGACCATGACAGTCACGGGGTCGTTGCCAAGGGCAAGCCGGAGTCGAGAAGTCCCAAAAACGACAACACGGACAATTATTTAACTGAGGAGGTGGCCGGCACACCTTCCCGCCGGGATGGCTCCATCGGCTCCTCGGGACATGCCGACATACAGTCTATTCAGGAAGCTGCAGAAATCGAGGGTAAGATTGTCCTGCTCAAACGTGGAGGATGCGGCTTCTTGGAAAAGGTCATGTGGGCACAGCGTAGAGGAGCCATTGCCGTCATTGTGGGCGATAACCAGAGGGGCGGTCCATTGATTCAAATGTTTGCCCACGGTGAAGACGTCGACAACGTCACTGTGCCCTCGGTCTTTACTGCTTGGACAACTGCCCAGCTTCTTTCCTCATTGACCCAGCCCGGAAGTTTCATTGAAGACACCCTCGATGACAACGGGAAACCCGCCCTCAAGGTCCAGCAGACACCCGCTGCCACCCACAAAAAACAATCCCAAGCAAAGCCCAAGGCCGCTGCTTCAAATGGCGCCAAAGGCTCAAAGTCTAAGAGACTGGTGCATGAGAAGCGAGTCAAATCTGCTAAAAGTGGCTGGGGACTAGGAGGATTATTCAGCCGGGACATCGCAACTCGCGCAGTGGATTCTCAGAGCCGCCCCCCAAGGAGCGGACGCTTGGACTGGGTCCTGGTTGACGAGTTCAACGATGAGAAAGACAAGCTGATTAGCGACACTTTGGGCAAAGCGAAGAAGCCCAAGTCCAATAAAGATGACTTCGTCATTGGTGTACATGACTGGAGAGACCCGGATCTTGTCCGCGCTGTAGGACAGAAGAATACAGTTGAAGGGGCTCCCGCCGCAAAGAATGCCGGGTCCGGCAAATCTAAAGATGGGGATGCCAGCTCAGACCGCAGACCAAAAGCTGCGGAGGCCGACTCCAAGCATCACGGCTTCCTGTCAACGCTATTTGGGAGTGATTCTGGCGATACCGCGCAGTCTGCCGGCTCGTCCGCTGACAAGGACGAGGATTCGCCAATCACGCCGTCATCGACCGATAGTCCACAACCGCACGAGGGCTTGTGGGTGACAATCACTCCGACAAGCAGCGCAAGCCCATTTTTCGATACCCTACTGGTGCTAGTTATCAGCCCTCTCGTGACGTTGACCGTTGTTTATGCGCTCCTCATTCTTCGAGCTAGGATTCGCAGGAGACGATGGAGAGCGCCAAAGTCTGTGGTTGATCAACTTCCTGTACGAACCTACCACACAGTTGTTTCGTCCTCACCTAGTTTGCCTCCAAGAGTGCCATCTCCTTCGGCTGCCACGCCAACCACCCCGTTGCTGCAACACAGTCCTCTGCGGCCACGCCCTCGGTCCAGGACCACGACGGGAGTAATCGAGAGCGAGAATCTCCTCTCAGCCAGCGGCCCTGTTCCAACACCGCCGTCTCCTCAGACAAGTCGCCGAAGCGAGTTTGAAAAGGGGGCGGGGGGCTTTTCAGCAGAATGGCGCAAGTACATGGGCCGACAGGTTGAGTGCGTTGTGTGTCTCGAGGAATATGTGGACGGCGTTAGCAGGGTCATGAGTTTGCCTTGCGGCCACGAGTTTCACGTCGATTGCATGTAAGCTTCAAGTGGTGCCGAACTCCTCGTATACATGGTTTGCTAATCCCCACGACAGCACCCCTTGGCTGACTACGCGGCGGCGAACGTGCCCCATTTGCAAGGGCGATGTGGTCCGGTCACTGGCGCGCGGCAAAGGAAACGGCCCTCGGTACGACGCCTACCGAGAGGACAGTGATGACGACGATGAGGATGAGGACGAAGCCGAGGCGTCGGGGTCTGGTTCAGCAGACAGACAATCCGACTTGGAACAAGGCGTCCCATCGTCAGAACCGAGAAACGCGCCGCAAAGACGGGACAGAGATGGTGGTTGGCTGGGTGTCTTGTCCAACAGCTTCCATGGCAGGACGCGACCTCGTCCTCGATCGCCCTCTCCAGAGGATCGAAGTCGTTAGGATTTGTCCATTGTGAACTCGCATTAGAGGTACCTGCATTATCCAGCCATGGACATTTTTTGGTCTTTTTCATTTCTTCTGCAAGCTTTCGGCGTCTGGCATAGCAGGAACAGGAAACAGGTGGATGTAATGCTCGTCGCTTGTCCGGTTTTTTTCAGGTTTTTACCTACTGGCGCACACAAATCTTTGGTTTGGGAACAGTGTGCTCAGAACAGGCTAATGCAGGCTTATGATGTCCTTTGCGGCATCGTGCTACTGTTTTTTTTTTGTTTTCTTTTTCTGGCTTGTGTATAGGATCCTGACTTTGGTCACGCGGCGGCGTCTGCAGACGGTGTTTAGCCACCGCATGGCATGGCAATGGCTTGGCTGTGCGAGGAGCACATCGAGGTACTTGGGCGGTTTAGTTTGGCACATTATACCCCCCCTTTCACGTGAAGGGGAAAGTTCCATGTTTTACGGAGGCCATGAATGAGAAGTACGAATTACCATTATCCTCGAGGTATTTTGAGTCGCACGCATGGTGAAAGAGTTGGCCATGGCTAGCACGGGTGACTGACGCCTTTTGGTTTCGGCCACTCAGGTAGACGGCCAAGCAGACGGCTGTGCTCCGTACGTCGTCTGGGAGACATCGTCTCTTCCTCAACTTGCAAAAGCGATTAACTCCATTGTCTTTTCTTCCCCCATGACTCATCCCTATCAAATGTAGCCCTTGAGAATAGCAGCCTCGGCATTGAGTATAGATGAGCCCGCGGCGCCAATGACGGCTACGACAACTTCAGCAGACTGATTGACCATCGGGGTGGGTTTGGGGAAGGGGACGGGGGCCACCGGACGGGACGGCGAGCGGGAGCACGTACTGTTGTGGCTCAAGGCGGTAAACTTGAGGTCGAAGACGCGGCTGTCGTCGCGCCTGACGCGGCCGACGCTGACGGCGTAGCCGTTGCCGAGGTCGCGGTCCAGCCGGGGCTGGGGGCGGTCGGGCTCGTCGAAGACGCGGATGGCCGGGCTCGGGGCCGAGGGGCACCCCAGGGCCTGCGCCTCGGGGACGTAGGCGCGCAGGGCGGCTTCGCACTCGTCCGCCGACGGCGGCGGCCGGCGCTCGAAGCGGAGGCTGACGCAGGCCGTGTGGCCGTCCATGACGGGGACGCGGTTGCACGTCGCGGAGACGCGGAGGCCGTGCTGCTCGACGAAGGCGGAGCGGGCGTCGTCGAGGCGGCCGAGGATCTTGCGCGCCTCCGTCTCGAGCTTGTCCTCCTCGCCGCTGATGAAGGGCACCACGTTGTCCATGATGTCCATTGACGGCACGCCCGGGTAGCCTGCTCCCGAGACGGCCTGCATCGTGACGACGGAGACGGCCGCGACGGGGCCAAAGGCCGCCTGGAGCGCGGCCAGGGGGCCCACGAGCCCGATGACGGCGCAGTTGGAGTTGCAGACCAGGAAGCCTCGGCGGAGGTTGTTGGCGCGGCGTTGGTGCGGGATGAGGTCGAGGTGCGAGAGGTTGACGGTCGGCACGACGAGCGGCACGAGCGGGTCGCGGCGGTGGTTCTTGGCGTTGGAGAAGACGGGGATTTCGGCCTGCACAAACGCCTGCTCTTTGGGCGCGCGCGCGGTTTGGTGCTGCGTTAGTGATGCTGACGATGGTGCCGGCGGCGCCGGCGGTTTGCTTTGCTTTGCTTCGTACCGATTTCACCGGCCACGTCCGAGTCCAGGCCGGAAAAGACGACGTCGCAGTCTTGGAACTCGCCGGCCTTGCACTCGCGCACAATCATGTCGGCGGTTTCGCTGCCCATGGGGGACGCTTGTTTCCATCGCACGGCGTCCTTGTACTTCTTGCCGGCGGAGCGGGAGGATGCCCCGACGGCGTGGAGCCTGAGCACCGGGTGGTTGGCGAGGAGGAGGATGAAGCGCTGGCCTACGGAGCCGGTCGCCCCCAGGACGCCTGTGGTTGTTGTTAGCCGCAAGTGCGAGCGCATTCGGGTGGTTGTTGGGCCGCGAGGCGGAAATACGACTGCGGCTTGGGAGACGCCGTCGGTCAGGGCGCATGGCGGGAGCGAGCTGGGGCGTACCGCATTTTTTGGTAGGCGATTGTGTGGCCATGTTGACGAGGTCGCGTCTGGACAAGAATCAATTGCCCATTTGGGGGGGGAGAAGACTATGCCGGGAGGGAATGATTGACCGGTTGTTTTGCGAGTCGTGAGTCGAAACGAGGGGATGTGAATCGTGACGGTGCCGGATCCAGCTGCGACTTTTTTGGTGGGACCCTCTGTCCTGCCCCGCCATCGGAGGGGGCTTTTTTTGCTCCACCGCCCAGAGAAGTTGAGACACGGCGCTTATCATGGTTGGAGGCTCAAGGAAATTACCACTAGACCGCGGCGCGTATGCCTTTTTGCGGTGAGGACAGGAATTGCGGCCCTCATCAGATTGAAACGTTCTTACACAGGGTTCAGTCATTGTATCTGAATCAAGTTATCTTTCTCTTCCTCCCCAGACTCCTGGCCATGCTCCAAACTGTCACCAACATCCAATCATGTACATGGTACGCCTAACAATGCAGATCATTCTCGCTCGTATTGCTCGTATTGCCCAAAACACTCGACCAAATGGGAGAAGGAACAAAAGGAAAGCGGAGAAGATTGCGAAAAAAAAAACATTCACTCGGATGAAGAGGAATCATGCATTAGGCCAGAGACGGCCCGCGGGCATTGTCGCCGTAGATGCGAAACTGCACAAAGATGGTCGAGTCTTCAACCATGGTGCCCAGGGAGCCCAGAAGCCAGGGGAGCGTGTTGAGCAGGTATTCCTTGTTCTGGGAGTACGAAATAAGGCCCAGCCCGTACGTCAGATTTCCAGTGAGGGAGAGCATAAAGAACAGGAGTGACAAGCCTGCATGCATTGTTAGTCTCGTGACCGACACCCTGTGTACTTTTACTGCTGCGGCGGCTCACCCTCGCATGACTTTTCCTGGTAGTTCTTGAAAATTTGAGGCAATCTCGCGCTTTGGTTTCAGTCAGCACCGAGCCGACTCCTGTCGAGTTGTCGCGTCTTCTTACCAGAGATAAAACAGCGCGCTGACGTAGCCCAAGGCCAGCCCAAACTTTGCCTTTAAATCGTCTTCTGAAGAGGGATCTTGTAGACTGCTGTCGGGGACGCCGTTGTCGCCACTCCAAATGCCCGCCTTGTAGGTGACGAACCACCCTGCGAATCCAACAATGTAGATGGCCATCAGCCCAAGCAAGTTGTTCAACCAAGGTCGTCGCTCTGGCGTCTCGTCCTGGCCAGTCACCACCTTTCGAATCGGTTCGAGGGCAGACTCTCGGTGTGTATCATGTCGAATCAGCGACCCCGGCAGGTCGGTCGAGCTTCGCCGGCGCCGTCCTAGGAGAGGAGAGTCCTCGGATGCTGTGGCGGACAAGTAAGCCCGGTCTTGTGCGGCCTGGTGGGCAGCGGCGCGTCGCCGAGCAGCTTTTCCCTTGTAGTAGCCCGTCTGGGCGATAAGAATGGCGTCGAGGAAGCAAAAGTACGTGGCTAGCGCAACGGCGCTCGGGGCCAGCTTGGTGAAGAGGGCTCCTGCGAAGGGGGTACGGTTAGTCTCTGGCCTGTCGCAAAATGCATCGCGACGCTGTGTCGTGGGACGGGAATCGGGAACAGGCCTCCGGAGTCTGGAGGGTGCGCAAGGCCGGGCCGCAGCACGACGAGACTGATCAGAGCGAGGTAAAAATTTCAACTTGACTTGCCTACGAGATTAGACACATCGCCCAAGAGCCAGACGACCAAAAATGCCATGCTCAGCCCATCGGCGCTCTTGGCCTTGTAATTGGCAATCAACTGGGGAAGCTATCCGGGAAGTTGGTCAGCGACCTCGTCACTCGTCATTTGGATAAGGGGGAGGAAGAAGCTGGAAAAGAAGACAAGAAAAAAAAAGGCGAAGAGATGACGATGGGCTGTGCTCACCAACAGACAAATCCAGGCTGTCAAGCTAATACTTCCGAAAATCCCAGAGAGCGCTTGGCCCCAGGACATGGAAGCCCCCGCGGCGACAAAGGCCGACGGAGCAAAGGAAACCATGTCGCAGGTTGGTGCTCTCTGATGACGGCGGCGAGGTCCCAGGCGCAAACTATACCAGAGCAGAAATGCCGAAAAGACGAAAAGACGAAAAGGAGGAGGGATAGGAGCGTGCCCTGGCTCACGAGGTCAATGGCAGAGTGAGTGGTGGGCGGGTTGCAGACACACGTCGACTTGTAACAAACGATCTCAGAGAGAGATGTGAGCGACTTTGGGGAGAAGTCAAGCGCCAAGCCACCGCCTTTTCTGTCGACTACTTTTTGAGCGCGTGAGCATTCACAACCCCCCCTGCCTTACGTACTTGTACGGCAGGTACCTACCTACTTAAGTAGGTGGTTCGTTACTGCTAACCTGAGCAGACCAGTTGCCAGCCCCGAGAGTCAGCGCGATGGCTCTTATCGCTGGATCTGGGGGAAGTTGATGAACACGACGACGTTGATTGGCTACCCTTGCTATCGGCGTCTTCCGGCTTCGGGTGTGTGACGCAACGACGCTCAGTTTGACGCACATTGACTTTGCGCTCGGCCGGGCCGTCGCTGCGCAGCTGCACCTGCTGATTTGCTCCCTTGGAGTTATCATCTCGACGAGTTCCTCGAGCCATGTTCCGTGTGACAGTGTGTGACAGTGTATGACATGCCCCCTGCAGGCGCAGCAACGGCACTCAAGTAAGTACGGAGTACGTACTTGCGTGCTATTGCCAGGTGGCTGAAGGTGGCTGATGGCTCCGTGTCGCTCGCTCCCGCCTGGCGCCTGGCGCCTGACAGCCAGACCACTGACTGCACTGCACTGCACTGCACTGTGAGCACCGAGCAGCGAGCAGCGACAAGTGGACAAGTGAGTGGACGCGTCAATGGAAGTCAAACTCTAATAAACCCAGCTTCTCCGTACCGAACACAGCAACACGATAATGGCCCTTCATTGTCCAATGTTCGCCGCGGACCACCAGCTCTGACTGCGACTTCCGCATGTGCAAATATTGCCCCGGGCCCGCCTACGTCAATGTTTCTTTTTGCTTGGTGTAGCGATCCTCGCCGCCAGAGGCGCTGGCCGAACATGAATGCGTGCCGCCGTCGCCCTTGCAGCGCCGTTTCACGTGGCATGCCACCATCGCATTGATTCGCTCTCGTCTTGGTCCGTCATCACTCTGCCAACACACATCCCAACTTACCTCCTTGGACCTGCTAGCGTCAGCAGGTCAACAGGCTGGGTCACTTGGGCGCCGGCCTCGACTCGGGCGCGAGCGCGGGAGCGAGAGCTGATGAGCCCACCCCCGAGACCTTGGCCCGTGTCGGCGCCCAGTTCTGTCCCAGTCAAGCATCAACTCCAAAGCTGAAGCATCTCCTGTCCCGGTGCCCTTCCTTTCCCGCCATCTCTGCCATTCTTGAAAGCATCAACGACACCATGAAGTCGTCGGTTCCAGTCCTGGCCTTTGGTCTCGCATCGGTGCCTGGCACTGTTGGCTGGGGATGTACGTTCAAGGCCCAACAACTGCCGGACGGGCAAGTCTTGCAATTCCGACACGCCTTTAAAGAGCTGACAGTTGAAATCCACAGCCCTGGGTCACATTACCACAGCCTATCTCGCAGGCCACTTTGTCGCCAACACGACGGAAGCTTTCTTCAAGGACCTGCTGCGCAGTCAGGATGACGACTACATGGCCAAGGTTGCTTCCTGGGCCGATTCCATCCGCTACACGAAATGGGGCCGCTTCACCAAGAACTTCCATTTCATCGATGCCCACGACGACCCGCCTCGGTCGTGCAATGTCGACTTCAACCGAGACTGCAAGGCCGACGGCTGCGTCATCAGCGCCTTGGCCAATTACACGAAGCAGTCTCTGGACCCGTCTCTTCCCGCCTGGCGCCGTGCCCAGGCCGCCAAATTTGTCATTCACTTTGTCGGCGATTTGCATCAGCCGCTGCACAATGAGGACGTGGCCCTTGGCGGCAACCGCATTCAAGTGTTGTGGGATGGGAAAGCCTACAACCTCCATCATGTCTGGGATACCTCCATTGCCGAGAAGTGGATCGGCGGCATGCGTGGCAAGCCATATCCCCTTGCAGAGAAGTGGGCAAGCCAGCTTGCTGGCGAAATCAACGACGGCAAGTTTGCCACGGAGAAGGAGGCGTGGCTGAAAACCCTCAACTTTACCGATGCTGTCGAGACGGCCATGGCCTGGTCTAGGGAGGCAAACGCCTTCGTCTGCACTCACGGTACGTGATGACCACGGAAACCCAAGCTCTGCCACCGTTTAGAATTAACACGCCCGGATAGTGCTCCCAGCGGGCCCCGAAGCTATTGTAGGTCAGGAGCTCGGCGGCGAGTACTTCAACAAGGCCGGCCCGGTCATTGAGAAGCAGGTTGCCCGTGCCGGCTTCCGAATGGCAGCCTGGCTCGACAGCATTGCCCGCGGGTTCGCCGCCACCAAGGTGGACGAGCCTGTCTCATTAGAATTGTAGAGTAGGCGTGATGACCAGAACATGGCCAAGCCATGCAGGAATTCGATACAATTCGGGCCTGGATTTCTCGTGTTCAGTTGCCATCTAGTTTCGCCTCGGGTGGCCAGGTTAAAAGCGGCAGTCTCAATTTTTGTTGATGCGGCGAGTACGTGCAGGGGACGTTTTGTCGTAGTAACTTCCCCAAACTCCTTGGAGTCAAGTACAATTGAATTGCATTCATGCCGTCCAAGGCCGTTTCTGTTTCGGGGCCGCCGCGCTCGTTGTCGACCATCTATACATGCATGGAGCGGCAATTCTTTGCCTAGATCGAAGCCACGACGACCACTTGGGACGAACAATGTGAGACGAGACAAGGGGGCCCGCGAATTCCTCGCGGTGCCAGCACCTGCGGCCGCAACTGTCACAAGTCCAACATGGCTGTGTTATGGCCTCGTTTCAAACTTGCCATTGGTTGGTCAGATTTTGCAACGTACAATTGGAAACAAGGGACCCAGCCTATATCCCCGATGGCGTGGCCTCGCGAGCCTCATCCATCGGGTTTAATGGGCCGGGGGCATCCAGCAAGACCAGCTAGCGTGATACGCTGAATACGTTGGGGAATGCCGTGACTGGGCGGCAGAAACGACGCCATCCTGAATTTTGAATCCGGGTCGTGGTAGGTGAACAGGATGACGTTGAGCACAAATCCAGCGCCCGAGGGCTGCAGGGGGGGACGAGCGGGTGAAGAAAGAAGGTGACGAGAGGGAAGAGGGGGGGAGTAAAAAATAAAGACGGCGACAAAGTTGCGGAGCAGCGAGACAGACGACTCACGAGACGGGACGTCGGAATGCGTGGTCGTGTGGAATGGAGTTTACAGCCCGGCCAAAGGCATGTCGCCACAAGGAGTCCAGTAGTTTATCGAGTACCATCAATTCGGTCACAGGGCCTGTGACGTCTCTGGGGTCCTCGTGTCACCAGCCAGGGGCCAGGGTCACGTTTGCGAGAATGGCACTTGGCAATGGAAATACGGAGTACCAGGGGCGATCCAAGCCGACGACGAGGCCTATATTGAAACGTGCCGTGCCGTGGAGTTTGTTTCCTGCTGCAATAGCAGCACCACACACGTGCGGACTGTCGCATGGAAAAATGGCGTGGCCAGACGCCACTTTCACCAGGGTGCGTTAATATTCCTAGTTGAATCTTTTATATTTTCCGACATTGACAGTTCCAAAGAGCAAGTGGACGTGTCGCCAATGGTACATGGCGGATCCCTATTGGCCCGGCAAGCGCGGCAGGGCGGGGTCAAGGACCTTGAGACAAGCCGAGCCGCAACTAGTCCATCGTCCGACTGTCCAACTTCACCAACTCCTTCTCGAAGCCCTCGAATTTCCCCGGCGTCGTTGGCTTCACTAGCTCTGCGTCAATGTCACGCATCTAGTGTGTCGGCCAGGGTGCCGCCATGGACACCAGGCCTTCGCACGCCTTCGCAGCTGCGCGCCGCAAAATAATGGACGTCTCCCGCCCCGAACGGCCTTGACATTTGGTCGCCCTGAACGGTGTCTGACCTTTCAACTACCCAGCACCTGGCCGATAATAAACTTCGTCATCGTCCCCGTCTGCTTTCCCGAGATGGCTTCTCACTTCTCATTCGCCATTTTGTGGTCCGCCTCGTCTTGCTTCGCCGCGCGCAAAAGGGCGAACTGTGTCACGCGGCATCGTGTCCTGGCGAGGCTCAGGACCATCGCAGAGTTTGAGCTCGTCGTGCAATAATCGTCTGTCGTCTGCAAATCATGCCATCGCTCAAGCCCCCTCCCCCGTTCCGCTCCCCCCCTAGTGTTTGATCTTTGTATCTCGTCCTGGGAGTTGTGTGATGGGAAACTACTCATGCTCTTCGCATTTTGTTCCTTGATCGATCCAATTTCCGTCCGCCTCGTTGCCATGTCCCTTGCCGGAGCTTGATATTTGTAACAGGAGCCCTTGGCATTCAGCAAAAGTATTTGGCCCCATTGGGTCCTCGCTCTCGCCGTGCCTGGTCTCTTCAATCTCTTCCTCATTCTTCCTCGATTGCAATTCTTACCGCTTCTTTGGTAACGCGCCGGCCGTGTACCTCTCTTTTCGGAGGGTGACTGTGTGTTGAATTCATTCATTCCTTCCCAAAGCTCTTGACACCGGGCTGGCACCATTCATTCTTTTCTATTGCACTTACATACAAGGGAATTCGCGCGCTGTGAGTGCCTTGCCTTTTTTCGTCAAAGACAAATCAACACCACAACTATGCATGTCAAGACTTTGGCCGTGGCCCTCCTGGGATTGTCCGCCCTTGCCGAGGCGGTCCAAGCTGGACGCAGATCTCTCTTTGCCAAGACCCTAGAGCGACGACAGCGGGGCGAAGCCGGAAATCAAGGCCAGACTCGGGGAGGCGCCGGAAATCGCGGAGGCCGGAACGGGGGCGGAGGCGGCCAGAATCAAGGCGGCAGTGGAAATCGTGGCGGCAACAACAACAATGCCGGAAGCGGTGGGGGTCTAAGATTGGACCCGAATAGCCTTCAAGAAGCTTCCGCGACGGATGGTAACCCGAAAGATGGCGAAGCTCCCTCGCTGACGTGAGTTCCTCTCGGGCCATCACAACCAGTCGCCAGTCGCCGACATCAAGTCTAACGTGAGTTCCAGGGACCCCGAGAACTTCATCAACTTCTGCGCAGGCAAGGTCTTGACCAACGGCCAGCAGAAAAGAGAAGGTTCCTGCAACGGAATCCGTACGTTGGCGATGCAATGGCATCCTTTCCCCTCCTCCTCCCGCCCCCCAAGTACGTTTTCGATTTAATGCCTTCGTAGCCATGGGTCAAATCCCACCTGCAACTCGGATGGTTTCCACCATTCTTCTGCTCCCCGAGCCTGGTGCCATCATCCCGCCCAACCAGGCTTTCGACGTTCAGTTAAAGGTATCGCATTTGTCCACGGGCTTCTTCACCAATCCCGAAAATACATACTACGCCGCTCCCCAGCAGCTTGATTCAGACAACAACATCATTGGTCACACTCACGTCAGTATCCAGGATCTCGGTGCAAATCTGAACCCGGCTACGCCTCCGGACGCCGTGACGTTTGCCTTTTTCAAGGGCATCAACGACAAGGCTGATGCAGACGGCCGCCTGACGACCAATGTTGCTGGAGGGCTCCCTGCTGGATTTTATCGCATCTGTACCATGGGGTCTGCTGCTAATCATCAACCTCTACTGATGGCTCTTGCCCAGCGTGGTCCTCAGGATGACTGCATTCGCGTTCAGGTTGGCGGCAACAGTGGCAACGGCGGTATTGGTGGCAACGGCGGTATTGGTGGCAACGGCGGCGGCGGCGGCGGCAATAACGGAGGCGGACAGAACAGAGGAACGAAGAACGGTAGACAAGCTGGTACAGATGCTCGTACAAGCTCCGGTGGACAAAGAGGCGGCGGAAGTGTCAACACGCCTGGTTCCGGCACAGAGAACGGCTTGGTTGGGAATAGTAGGTCCATCTGCAAACAACCGCTCTCGTCGAAACAGTCACATGGGCGCCGCTAATACTGGCAAGCAGATGGAAAACAGAAAGGCCAACAACCTTCAGACAAAGTCCGGGGACGACCACAGTCCCAACCTACCGTAAACTCTGGCAGCAACGCATTTTCTGGAAAGGGTAGGCCCGTCTTTGACCATCCTCGTTGGGGAAATGGTACAGATGCTGACACCGGCAAGCAGATGGACAGCAGGCAAGCCAACCCGTGGGCGCAACACAGGGATCTTTCGAAGGCGCGCCACAGGGACCTGTGCCGTTGTTCGACGAACCTTGCTAGGGCCGCAGGCGCCAATACCGCCAGCGGTCTGCGAGGGTGGCGCTCCCCTGATGACTCCCAAGGTGGCATCTGCCCTCGCAAGACGCAGGCCGCCGAGGGAAGGGGGGGGCTTGTTACCGACGGCGGAGCGACTGCTTGTGGTGGCCATTCTGACGCTTTCACATCAGAGCTGGCATGTAGATGAGGCGAGATTCGTGGGGGGTTTGACCATGTGAAGATCATCTTGTTACGCCACTCGTTCCTCTTGCGCTCGCTTGGTTGTTCAACGTCCCGGGCGGAGCGAACACACATTTTGCATGATTGTCCACTGTTTGACCGGAGGCCAGACGTAGCTGCCAGCCACATGCACGGTTGGCCATGGCCGCAGCGTGCCGTCCTCCGCGGTTGGCTACAAGTCTCGAGGCTCTGATGGAGGCTGCGGTTCCACGGGCAGGGCAGAAGATGTTTTGGCGGTTGGGGGAAATGCCAGTGTTCACCATGTCACCCGTTTCGCGGCTACAGCTTGTATTTTCACTCTCCGAGGCAGCCGGTTTGGCAAGCGCCCGTCTTTACTTGGCAGTCAATGGCTACTTGGCGAGGGACAGATGCGCAGTTGCGGGAGGGCAGTGTACAGCCAGCCTACGCGGGTTGCCGGGCGAGACGGGATGGTTGTCTTTCTGCGCTGATGTCTGAGGCTGGTTTCTTCTTGTTTCAATAAGATGGTGTCGTTGACCTGCCGCCTCGCGGGTGCCGGCTGTCGGCTGCCGGCTGCCGAAGCACAACTTGGGCCCGTGGCGGATGCACATGCACGCACGCACAACTGTTCACGTATTGCGTCGCGGACGATGAAACGAATCTGCGTAGCCTTTCTATTCTTTTGCAGTAGTCCTTGTCTCCTGTCGTCGCCGCTCGTCGGGCGACCTGGATCCTGTGTTCCATGCTGGTCTGAGACGAAACCGGGGCACAAATTCGACGAGACCGATCTGGCCCGGTAGTTTCAGGTCCTGAGCGGCATTCATTTCCTGCAGACCCATCGGTGACTTGGTCCGCTGAAATTGCGCGTGTTCCGAGATTGGATGCTCGCGCCCGGCCCGGAGCGATACGCGGCCGCGCCTCCCACGGACGACGTGTCTCGGCCGCCATCACGAAACCGACGATGCTCCTCTCCCGCGTGGCCGGGGCGTCGAAACGTCCTCTATTGAATTGGCTGCGCCTCTGCTTCTACAGCGATGGGTAGACGTACACGTCTGTCCGCCCGCGACGTCCCCCCCTTTCCCCCCAGACCCCGTCGACAATGTTATTCGCGCGCCCCCTCGTTCCCTCTCGTCTGCCCGCGAGCGGTGGCGACCAGAGAATACGGTCGTGCTACCTGCGTCTAGGACTTCACGGCGGCCCGTCAGCTCTCTCTCTTTTGCCGTGCCGGCGCCGGTGGCGAGATGGACACCTACCCGCATCCCTGGGGCGTGACGACCCCGAAGAAACAATCCCCGCTGTTGCTGGGCACGACCTGGTCGGGGTGGATGGGCGTGATGACGATGCCGGCGCTGACGCTGACGACGGAGGCGGCGACGCTGAGGACGAGAGCGAGGGACGTCTTCATTTTAACTCTTGCTTTTGTTCGGTGGCGCAGTCGAATTATACTGGTGATGGTGATTTACGGCTGGGCGAGAAGGGAGGGAAAAAAAAAAAGGCCACGCCGTCGGGATAGACAAAGGCCGTACGCTCGACGTGCGGCGTCGACAAGTGGAAATGCAAAGGCGGAAACAGGGCAGAGGAGGAGCAGCAGAGTGGTGGGTTAAATGGGAAATGAGTCTATTATTTCCGTGACCCCGTCGCAGGGGGCCGTCTTGCGTGCGGTTTCAGGATGGAGCATGGAGCCGCTGGCGTCGCCGCCAGGGGGGGGGCAACGCCGAGACGGAGATGCGTGCGTCTGAGCGCGCGCTCGGGCTACCAAAGTATGATTTTGCCACTTCTCGACTTCAACCCGTCGTCGGCCGGGCTCGCGCCTGGTCGTACGCTTCCCGCCGCGACCCGTGCGCGCATCCCCAGCCCTTCTCCGTCGACCGTCTCCCGCCGGGACGACGCGCCTTCGCCGCCGGATGCCCGGCAGATTCATGACGCCGGCACGGGAGCCGGAGCCTCGGTGCCAGATCCCCCAGTGGCGTGGCGGCTCGGAAGGAAGAGAGGCATGTAGGTGACGCCGAGCGCCATGACTGCCACACGCCATTCGTTAGCTTTGCGGTCCCCCTCGACACGGCGGTCACGACGACGGCGACAACGAGCGTCTTCGTACCGGACATGAGGACGGAGAAGACGCCGGGCGTGCTCGACGCCCTGGTCGCTTCCGCGCTCTCGCCTAGCCAAGTCTGGATGGCGAAGACGACGGCCGCCCTGTTGGAAGCATCGTCAGCCGTCTGTTGTTTTGGCCTGGGGCCCTTGGCCGTGCCGCCGGCCCCGGATTGCCAGCGTCGCGCGACGTCTGGTCGGTCCGTCGCGCCACGTACCATCCGATGTACCTGTTGCGCGTGAACATGGCGGCCATGGGTAGCGTGGAGGAGATTGTGGACGAGAAATCCGCCTTGTCGCCCGAGGCGGCCGGTTCCTGATAGGGGACGACTGTTGCGCGCAGCGTCAGCATCTCGCCTCTCCTGTCCAGCAGAGAGCTCGACTGGCCCGTGGCGGACGCGGCATTCTACGCCCGTGGCTTGGGAGGTGGTCGAAGAGGTCGGGTCGCTTACTCAGGTCCGGCCGTCGCATGTCCTTGGTTGGCAGCATGATTGAGATGGGCAACTGGCTGTTGGAGGGTTGGAGAGGGAACAGAGTTGAAGCTTCTCGCCGGCCAGCTCGTCCGCGCAGCCGACCGGACCGTGCATGAAAAAGTGGGTCGGCGGTCCGCCCAACACGTCTGCCAAAGCCCAAGGCTGAGCAGAGGCAGCAGAGGCGAGGCAAACATTGCACATTTTCCACCTCGATGCGCATCCACGCCCAGCACCAGACACACAGACCTCGTGAGCTTGGAGAGTTGGATTGTCCTGAATACCATGTACGAGATGACGCTCATCACCGACGGATGCCCGCGCCGACAACCTGTCACACACCCCAAACCCGTCCTTGTCGCCCGAGAATGCAACGCCCCGAAACACCAAATGTCACTTAACCCTCGCTCCGTCATGGTAATCACGGTACTCGTACAATGACCCTCCATGCCAACGCGCCAGCTTCCCGAATTGCACAAGCTAAACAACTCCTCTTCCGTCTGCTAATGACGGCATTCCATCCCCTTTGTGCACATATCGCTCGCACCATAATCTCCATGTCCGAGCCGAACTGCCTCTTCTGAGACTCTAAATGCATCCTGGCCGCCGCAGAGAAGCTGCCTTTTCGATCAAGAATCGGTGACGATGACGGCTTCATGATTTCCGCGAGGGCTGGCGACTGTGGCTGTTCCGCAAAGCCCGTAATGCAGTCAATGACAAGCACTCGGTTCGACCCTGCTCTGCCAAATGTGGGATCGACGAGAAATTCCGATAGCGCCGTGCGTGGCTTTTTGATCAGTTCGGAAATGTGAATCACGGTAAACTCGTAAAACTTGTGCAAGGGGTGTCCTGGTACGGGTTAGACATATACACCGCCTGTCGTGCATGTATTGGCCGTGCGAGGGCGTAAGACCTACCAGTCCTGAACGAGGCTCTCGAGCTATGAGCCGTTTCACTCCCTCCCATCCCATTCACATGCTGCATCGTCGGGCTTGACGCAGGCGACCTCACGACCCTTACCCTCTGCGATGGAGCACAAGGATGGGCCGTGACAAAGTTGACATCGTACGTCAGCGGATACTGGTACTCCTCCTCCTTGCTTCCGCCAATCGACACAAAGAACTTGCACCCTGCAGGATATGAAATCAGTTCGGGATATTTGGTACAATGCTCGACCGTCGGCGTTGGGACCATCTCCGAGAGCGGAGTGGCCGGTACAGCCTCGGGAGCCGACGTGAGGTCCAAAGACAGGAGCTCGACATGAACCGCCGGCGGGGGCGTGGTGTATTTGTTCTCGTGTGGGATGATGAAGTCCGCGGCTTGGACGGAATTCTCCTTGCCGCTGCCCAAGATGGACGATTCGCGTTCAACCTTTTTCTTGCCCCAGAGCCTGGCTTTCTTGCCCAGCTGCGCCATGTCGTCTATTGCAAAGGTGTGTGTCAGCGATTCAAGATATTCCATGACGTGGCGAGTCGACTCACCGGGGACATCATCAACCTCTATCGTCAGCCAGCCATCCTCTGCACCTTCTGGAAGGACGTCGGTTGAAATCCAGCCCATGCACTCCGCTGCCCCCTTGCCTGCCGCAAGCACACGTCCGACAATGCAGCTTGTGCTCCAGAAAGACTTGCCCGAGTAGACGAAGCCTCCGGACAAGTTTGCAAATGGGCCGAGCTTCGCCATTGCCTCGGTGTCATTCTCCAAAAGCGTGGCCATGAGGTAGTGGCACAGGGAGTCGCCGGGAATGATGAGGCCAAACACGTATGACTTGGTCAGCCAACCAGACTCGTGAAGGGCAGCAGCCAGCCTTCGCCGTTGGGCTTGTGCACGACCCTTGTGTTTGCCATGGTTACATGTAATGTCCCAAGCCCCGAAATTTGATGAATGTCTCGATATTATGGATAGCGAGCTCGTTCTCCGCCCCGGAGTTTCCTCGACTGCATTCTGCGCATTCTCTGAAATTTTAGTCTCGTATCTGTCTATTCCCGGCCACATCAGATTCCTGGCAAAATGGGTCAGGCCCTCGACCTGACGTTCGCTATTGCGTCCCTTCACAGTGTAGTGGTAGGGCCGCGACGCGCTCTTTTTGTGATATCGATTTGTCACCCTACTGGCCAGCGCCCCGAGCCAGCTGCTCCCACGCCGTGGTGGCGGAGGCCGCTCAGGCAAAGGATCATCTTCTTTGACAATTTCAATGTTGTCGAGCCAACTTCGAGCCAAGAGTAAAGACCATTTGACCGTCTGGGATGCTGCTCGTTCGAAATGGACGACGTCTATGGGTCTTATTCCAGTGACGCCATATTCGATCCCTTCTGTGACGGCATCCAGTCTGATGAGAAGCTCCGTCGCAAGCAGAATCTGTATGAGGAGCCAGTACTTTTCTTCGGCGCGCTCCTTGGCATCGTCGGTATCATGAATCGCTGTGTCATCGTCAAGCTCGTCACCGTCATTTTCCCCCCAGAGCACCTGGCCCAGGCGGATCCTCCATTCCACTCGAGAAAAGTCTATCCAGACGTTTGCAACGCCAAGGCACTTTAGCAAGGCCCGAATCTGATTGTTGAGGCCGTATTGGTCTGCCTGGTCAGTAACGGTGTCGGTGGGCCGCATGAAGCTGTGAAAGAGGTTCTTGTACGTTTCCACGGAAGTTCTTGATTTCAGGTCGTTATGCCTATAGATGTCGCTGTTTCGCTGGAGGCGGTCCAGGACCTCGGGCTCTGGGATACGGCGCAGCATTCCACTGTTTGACAACATGTTGGCTCTGGCTTCCACAATCACCTTGGCTTTGGTGCCGAGGCTTTCGAAGCCAAATTGTTCTTCTTCAAGAGAATCGCCCGCCGGAAGTTCGAGAGCTGCTTGATATCCCATGGTTCCCTTTTCCAGTCCCTGCATGCTCACCATATTTGGCCGCTCTCGACACTTGATGTGGAAGTGAGCCTTGTGCTTCTCTTGCAACTGCCGCTTGGCGGCGGCGTCATTCTCGGCGTCCCTGGTCAAGTGAGGCCAGGCCGTCATGGCACCCCAAGCCTTGTCCTCGATTTGAACGTGATCCGTCAAGTCTCTGATTTCAAGCTCCTCGTCAAACAGAAACGCAACGCTGGGATGAGGAGCGCCATAGAAGTGGCTCTCATTCCGCGCAAAGAATTGCGGTGCTCCAGAGAAGAGTTTCTCAATGTCTTGCTCACTCAAGGTTGTCGACATGGTCCTGCTGTTGGGCGTCGCCGGAAGAGGTTGCTTCGTGAGCCATGAAAATGCCTGTCGAAAGGCCGGATCAATATAGAATCCCACGGTGTCGCCACTAGGTGTTGGCTGAGCCGAGGCGGATGCGTGGATGATTCGGGACTTTGAAGAGACGAGTCACGAGACTGGGTGGCGATTGACAGACAATTGATCTTCGACCACCGGCGGCAGCAGTTCGATTCGTGGATGGACAGATGCAGAGTGGAAGTCGGACATCGACGGACGTCTCGATGCAGGAAGACGTTCTGCGCACTCGCGGTCTCGCACTTTAATGTTGGCGTGCCGCGTGAGTGGCGTGACCCGTCCCGTCGTTGCTCTCAAGTGCTGGCTGACTTGGAAGCGCCGTGAGATGCTCGGCATGGACGGGGGGCGCATGTGTTGCAAAGGGCTTGAAGTAAGTGACCAATGGCTCAATGCAAGGAGGACGCATGCCCGGGACTTGATGCGCGAGCGAGTGAGTGGTGACACGGGCAATTGAGAGATGACAGAGGTCAAATGTGGGAGACGCTGATCTCACATGGTCAGAGTCGGAGACTCAAGAGGTTGGGAACCTCAGGCCCTGGTCCCTTATTCCTTATTCCTGCCTTCCCCGCAATCTGGTTAAGGTAGGCACGGCCTGGCAGGCGAACGCCGAAGAGGCTCTAGCCTGGCGCCAGATTCACCCAATCACCTGCACCAACCGTCCCGTCAGCGCCGCCCTGCCCCCGGACCGGCATCTGCATATGGCATCGGCCCATCTAGAGTTGAGGGCGTTGGCGTCCTGCCAACCTGAAAGAAGCTTGGGACCGAGGGAGATACAGGCACCTCCCCAGGTACTTGGTATGCAGTCAATACTACCTAAGTGCTTAGTAGATACTGAGTACTTAGTAGGCACTTACCTAGGTGCTCAGGCGCCCGGGTACGTTCTATGTACATTATGTACGGAGTACGGAGTAGGTACTTGGCTTTTATTTAGGACCCACCAAGAACCTCTCTCCGCCAAGTGCTCGTGCTCCATGCACGAACTGGTGCGCTCTGCCGGTTGATAGTACTAATGGGCAACCAATGCTAGATAGTCTCCGGCATGAAGCTGCACAACTCAAAACGCCACTCCACTACCCGTTGTGCCGATAATGTGCGCACGGCATGCGGGTTTTACGTGGTACCTTGGGAGGTCAATCAGACATGATCAACTCACCAACACGGAGCATTAAACCTTTACGCAGCGTTTGGCCAATCCGTCCTTCACTGGACCCATGCGAGACTCGGGGCTTACTACATGTACGACCTCTCTGGGGTATCATTCATCCTGTACGCCGTGTCGTTCTAGCAGCAAAGCGGTCATGCTCGTCCCCGTGCATATTCACCACTCAAAACCCTCTTTCTCATGTTGCATCTCCGTCAATCCGCTCCGTCTCAAGCGGATGGTGTGTCGTGAATAACGGTGAGGACGTATTTGGCATCGGGCACGATGACAATCTCCTGTTTCTTTGTTCGTAATCTCAGAAGTCGCAATTCATCCTGTTCTGATTTTAGCCCAGAATTCCGTCTGCGTCCGGATCGGTAGAGTGACCTCGGTATCCACCTCCTCCACCAAATGGCCAGACGTTTTGACAAAGTTCCAAATCATGGCCGCGAAATCCTCAACCCCTTGCGATTCACTTGCTTCCGCTGCGGATGCCTCGTTGGAGAACGACGCCGTTGTTGCCGCATCGCGAGCCTTTGCGGTTCGTAAAGCCGACAATTCGCCGCTCGTCTTCAGGATCGCGCCGCTGGTTCTGTCGAGAACAATACTCGCCCGGACGCCTCGTTTCTTAGACAGTTGCCCAAGCCTCTCTTCTAGAGCGTCGTGAACCTTGGGCTAAAATTAACATTAGCATCGTTCTTGAGCCTAACCAAGCGCCCCCTTCAAAGACTGCACCTACCGTCGAAGAGTCTGTCATGGTCACTGTAAGGGAGCTTGGAATCCGTTGCAGTCTTGAAAAGGAGATCGCACGCGCATTGGTCAATAGGCAGACGTGGGGTAACTCCCGGCCGGTGACGACAGGAACGGCGTTCTGCCGAAACACACCGCCAAAATTTGATGGACCACCGATAGAACTCCTCTGTCAAATCAATTAGCACACATAAAACTCTCTTCACAGCCGTTCCAGCGATCATCACAATGGGCTCTAGTGCCAAAAAAAAGAAGGAGAAACAGAAAGACTTCCAGGTATGAAAACTCTTCGGCGATGGCGGTGGCGGTGGCGGTGGTGATGTGACGAATCATAGTTGGCTGAAGAAATCTCAACGTAGAAGCCCAAATATAAGGTGGGAAAGACAAAACCAAAGGCCTCCAATTTCACGGACACTAGCTTCAAATCTAAAGGTTCGATAACAACCCAAGCACTCTAGACTTGACAAGCCGCTAATCGCCGAGGACAGCCATTGTGGTTGGACAGCAATCCCTATCCACGGATGCACCAGACTACGTCCAACAATTCAAGCACAATTTGTCGTTAGCCGCCTCATCAAGATCAGATAAACAACGCAGAGAAGCCTTGGCCTTTTTGACGAGCCAACTATCTGCCGACCAGCCAACCAATCCTGTTGGCACAATTCCCCTGCTGAATAAACTTCTCCCCCTAATTTCTGACAGCTCTACCCCAGTGAGAGCTCAACTTTTGAAATTGCTCCGGGCCCTCCCAGGAGAAGAGGTCAAGCACTGCACAGACCATGCATCAATGTATATACGAGCCGGGATGACACACTTATCCGCCGACATAAGTAACGACTCGCTCGCCGTGATGGAATGGTTGCTTGACGTAGCTGGTTCCGAGCTGGTGAACTGTCCAGGTGGGTGGGTTAAGACTCTAGGCACGTTCTGCGCAATCATGGGCTGGGCTACGTCTTCCTCCAGTGGAGGCTGGACTTCGGCCACACGCACGTCAATGAAGGCCAAGGACGCCCAAAACTTGACAAAACAGATCATGGCGCTGTCTCGTTTTCTCAAAACCGGTTTCGCGGATGAATCAACACAAACAGAGTACCCTTGTCAATACTGGGATACTCTGTACAGAGTACCTCGTGCCCCAAATTCCTTCGAATATCTCAATCTCTCTGGCGCCCGCCGTGACGAAGAAAGCGAAATGTATTCAAATCGAGCGGCTCGACAAGAAATATTTTGCAAAAGGTTTCTCGATGCCGTTAACAAGGGCCTCGATAAGGCCAAGAAAGAAGGAGGTGCCCCTGGTCGTGCTGCCTCGTCAACAGAACAGATCTTGAAGGATGGCCTGGCTGACTATGAGCCTTCAACTGCTATGGATACACAAGATTTGCTCGATTTATGGTGAGGGTCGACATTTGTCATCAGTGACACACCCCAACACACGAGATTGCAGCGTTCAGCTCGATTTGCCAATCCCTTTGGCAGCTACGAGCCAGCTGGCTCCCATTACTAAGTGTGTTCCATGTGCTGGATGGAGCACGGCCAGTCCTGCGTGTGTGGCGTAGCCCAGGGACAAGAAGACAGCGGATCCCGGTGCGTGGCATGAAAATGCCTCTGAGCAGCAGGTATCGCAATACCCCACGTGCGTTGGCCATGTTGGCGAGCCACCTCTCGTGACTTGCCATTCAGCTGGCATGAAGTCTAATTCTGTAATTAGGATATAGTCCTCGAACAACTGGATGCAGCGCTCTGCTTGCATCTCAAGTGACGTGAATATACCGCGTTTAATGAAGCCCAGGACCACGAGGGTCGAAGTATTTTGATGCATTCAACTGCAGCAGAAAGTTGTAGCCCAGTCTTTGCACAAGTCAACCTGATCCTGGTCGCAAGTGTAAGGTGTCAAAAGAAGCTGTCAGTCTCGTCAACACATTGACCAGCTGTCGAGCTCTCCAGCAGCTGTAAGTGTTTACAAATAAAACTCTCCTCTTCCTCGTCTTTCCTTCCCCACTTCCTTCCTTCCTGCCTTCCTCCTCCCTTCATTCCTCCCCCAATTTCCGTTTCCTTCCTATGCTTCCCGTTTCTTTCTAGATATCGAGAAGACTTGTTTCACTAGTTGCCTGCTCACTCCTCTATTTCTCTCGTTGGGGCCATTGTAGCTTCTTTGCAAAGTGAGACACGGCTCTCCTCGTTTTCCTCTCCTGCGCCTGCATGTTCATTATATTTCTGTTCGGGCTATGTGAGCTGCAGCACTTCCCCGCGCCTATGCCAGACGCTGATCTGGGATTGCGCCTGCAATTCGTTACCGTCGAGCACGTAGAGGCTGAAAACTAAATCGACTCTTAGAATTCGCCCCTTGCAAGAAATACCATGGAAAGCCATACCAAGCCTCCCGCTGCAGCCCCTGGTGCCTGGGTTGAGCCGCAGAAGATCGACTACTCGGCCTTCAATGGCGATGGAAGTACGAAGACCGAGGACTTTGATGGATCTGCGCCGATCTATCAGTGGAACGATGAGTTCGGGGATGTAGGACCGAAATACGAAGCGTTGGAGCTCGAGCTTTTCGGTGACCCTCAGTCTCGTCATGATCGTGCCGGATTAGATTTTTCCAAGTAAGTGTACCACACATAGACAAGGACCTCAAATTCATTTAACAACGCCAGGATCGAGAAAATCAGCGTCGAACAGGAAGGGCCTGTCAGGATTCAGCCCATCAGGACTTTCAAGGATGCCGCACTTCATCCTGTCATGGCAGAGAATATTGCCTTGATGGGATATGATGCTCCCACGCCTATCCAAAAATACACCATTCCATCAATGCTCCAGGGTCACGATGTAATCGGCATTGCGCAGACAGGTACGAAATAAGCCGCCCACCGCCGACATTTTCCCCGCCGGCTCATTGATTGACTAAACACCGTTGTTATTACAGGATCCGGCAAGACAGCTGCATTTTTGATCCCCATTCTGAGCAGACTCATGGGCAAGGCCAAAAAGCTGGCCGCTCCTCGCCCTAACCCAGCCACATACCGTGAAGGCGTTGATGCCGTCACCGCTGAACCATTGGTCTTGGTGGTCGTGCCAACTCGGGAGCTAGCTGTGCAGATATTCAATGAAGCTCGAAAGTTCTGCTATCGCTCTATGCTTCGTCCATGCGTCGTGTATGGCGGTCTACCTATGAGTCAGCAAATTGGTTTGCTGAGCAAGGGATGCGACGTTCTCGTTGGGACCCCCGGGCGGTTGGTGGACTTCGTATCTCGTCCGCACATTTTGACCCTTCGCCGCCTCAAACACATGGTCATCGACGAAGCAGATGAAATGCTCGATTCTGATTGGAATGACGACCTCGGCCAGATCCTCACAGGCGGAGGTAGGTGTGACACCTTTCTCGTTCCGTGCTAGAATAAACAGGCTAACACCGCATACAGAACAGGACGAGGGCAATGTCAAGTACGGTCTCTTCTCAGCCACGTTCCCCAAGGCTGCTCGAGAACTTGCCAAGGAATACTTGTCGGCGGCTCACGTCCGATTCCGAGTTGGCAGAGCTGGCAGCACCACGGAGAATATCAAGCAGGTGATACTTGCCACAGAGCGAGATGAGAAGCGAGATACTCTTCTCCGTCTTCTCAATCAAATGACTGGTGTGAGAACCATTATTTTCGCCAATAGTCGCAGAGAAGTCGACAACTTGGACGATTTCTTGTACAACATGGGCCTGCCGGTCACTTCCATGCACTCCGAACGAACTCAAAAAGAACGTGAAGCCGCGCTACGCTCTTTCCGCGCTGGCCAGGCTCCAATTCTTATTGCTACTGGGGTCACTGCTCGGGGCATTGATGTTCGTAACGTCATGCATGTTATCAACTACGACCTCCCCAACATCGAACATGGTGGAATTGAAGAGTATACTCACCGAATTGGTAGGTCGGTCGTTGGGGGAATGTCGGTAATACTTCTAACTGTTCCTTGTAGGTCGAACTGGGCGTATTGGGCACCGAGGGTTGGCGACATCCTTCTTTGACCCCGTCGACGATGAGTCCTTGGGGAGCGTTCTCACTAGGACCCTCCTAGAAACAAAGCAGGAGATCCCTGAGTTTTTAAGGATCTTTGTTCCAGAGGGAGATGCAGCCATTAATCTTCGTTTTGAAACGGAGTCTGACTACGACCCTGAAGAGGCCCCTGGCCAAGGGCAGGCAGGTGATGTTTCGGGCAATGACTCTTGGGGAGCAGGGCAAACAGAGAATATAAATGGTAGTGGTCCTGGATGGGGTAATCCTCAGTCTAACGGTGCGACTTCTTCGGCTCCTGTCAACAACGGCTGGGGAGGTGAGGCTGCCGCAATCGCTCCGGCCTCGACAAACAAGGGCTGGGGAGGTGAGACTGTCGAAGCTGCTATTCCTACCAACAACGGTTGGGGAGCTGATAGTTCAGCCGTGGAAGCTGGTTGGTAAATCTCTAGGGCCATCATGTTGCCGGTCATACGTTGTGGTATGGCACGGGTAGTTTTACGCAATGTGATACACGCAAGCCTTTGCTCATAAAAACGGCAGGTTTTCAGATAGCTAGCCACAGAATGAATGCTGATCAATAATTTTTCTTTGCCAATTCAACAAATGCGACTATGGGGGGGGTGAGCGGCGTGTGCGGGCGGTAGGGATTCGCAGCTCGAAAATCGTCAGCCTTTGAGCCCGAAGAGTCTTGAAAGAAGGAGCACCGCCCTTTTCCTCGACTGAGGTGCAAGCACTGGGGCCTATTACCAAAGGCCGTGAAATGGAAGGCAAGCTTCGAGGATGACGGCGTGCAGCGGTGGAATAATCACATGTTGCCCAGTATCTTGGCCAACCCTTTGACTTTTCTCGGTCCCTCTCCGTAGCCGACCTCCACAACACCGTGGGCAAATGCCCAGCCCCGTTCCTGACTGGGCACAGGATACTGCACAGGCGGGGGAATCCCCGTCCGAATGCCCAGCCAGCCGAAGCGATCCTCGCAGACACTCTTGATATTACACAGGCCCCGGAGGCCCTCCTCGCCGGCGAAGCGGCCGTAGCCAGAGCCAGCAACCCCGCCGAAGGGGAGTTGAACGGCATAGTAGGCGGCAAAGTCGTTGACGGCAACCATGCCGGCCTTGAGGCCGCGGACGATGGGGCCCAAGGCGGGGTCGCGCTCAGAGCCGTGGACGGAAGCGCCGAGGCCGAAGTCGGGTGCGTTTGCGACGGCGAGCATGTCGTCCGCGGAGGAGGACGCGGCCCTCAGCATGGTCAGGACCGGGGCGAAGCACTCGTGCTGGGCGATGCGCATGTCGACGGTGACGTCGACGAGCAGAGTGGGCTGGAAGTAGTGCCCCTTGGGGTAGTCGGGGTGGACGTGTCGGCTGCCGCCGGCGAGGAGCCGGGCCCCGTGCCGGACGGCGTCGGCGATGAGCTCCTCGAGCCGGTCGAAGGAGGCGTCTGATATCAGGGCGCCGACGTCGGCGTCGGGGCCGAGGCGGAGCGCCCTGACGCGGGGCGCGAGCATGTCGACGAGGCGGTCGTAGACGGCGCCGGCCGCGATGACGCGCTCGATGCCGATGCAGTTCTGGCCGGCGGCCTGGAAGGTGCCTCGCAGGACGACCTCTGCTATGCGCGCGAGGCGGGGGGCGGCCGAGTCGAGCACGATGAAGGGGTCCTTGCCGCCGAGCTCGGCCACGACGGGCGTCAGGCTCCTTGCGGCGCTGGCGGCGACGTGGTGCGCCACGGCCCGCGAGCCGATGAAGGTGACGTGGCTTACGGCCGGGTGCGAGGTCAGGTGGCCCGCCGTCTGGGGCCAGCAGGCGACGGCCTGGACGAGGTTGGGGTCGTGGCCGTGGGCGGCGAGCGCCCCGCGCGCGACGTCTGCAAAGTGCGCGCTCGACCAGGCCGTCTGCTCCGAGACCTTGACGACGATGGCGTTGCCGGCGAAGAGGGCGCTGACGATGGGGCCCATCATGTTGTGGAAGGGGTAGTTCCACGACACGAGGGCCGAGACCACGCCCAGCGGCTCGTAGTGGACTGTGTTGCGCTTATACGCCATGAGCAGGCTGGTCGGCCGTCGCGAGGGCCTCAGGGCCTTCTCGCCGTGCAGCAGCGTCCACTGGATCTTCTCGACCGTGACCAGGATCTCGCCCAGCTGCGCGTCGACCATGGTCTTGCCGCTGTCCAGGCACGCGGTCCTGCAGATGTCCTCGGCGTGGTCCAGGACGTACTGCATCAGGGAGCCGAGGACGGCTTTGCGTTGGCGAAACGACGTCTGCCGCCACCTTCTTTGGGCGGCCGACGCGGCGGCGACGGCGCGGTCGATGCCGTCCGGCGTGGAGGGGTTGACCAGCCCGAGGAATTGGCCCGTGGCAGGGGCGTAGCATTGGATCGCCGAGGCTCCGGGGATCTTGATGCTGGTCTGCTCGACCGTCGTCCTCGTCTCCGGGAGCTTGGCTGGAGGGACGCGGTATCGAAGAGGTCGGGGGGTGGAGTTGGCGTGGGCGTGGGCCAGGAGACGCGCTGTCATCAGGGAGACGAGAATGACGACTATGGCGCACCCGACCTGGAGGGTGCTTTTCCTGGGGTCCGGATGGGGTCAGCAGTCGCGTCAAGAGCAAGAGGCGGACGGCAGAGGTTTACGCAACGTTGGAGAGGTGCGTACGAAATGTCAAGTCTGGCCGTCGCGTGGTTGCTGAAGTCGTACCACCACGACGCCAGCGGCTCCGGGGAGAGGCGCCCCATTGATCCGAGCCGTCGAAAGCTGCTTGTTGAGGTGCGACGGCACGGCTTTCCTGTCAATCAACGGCTGAGCAGCCGCAGCAACCTCAGCAAGCTCGGCGGCGGGTGTCTGCACATTAGATGGCATACATACATGTCAGGTTGGAGATGGTCGGGAAGGGGGGGGGGGGCGCGCCGAGAGGATCGACACGCGACTCGGAGCTCATGTGGGGCGGAATACGACCGACGATTAGACGAACCAACCATCGCCCATTCTGCGTCCGTTTACGGAGCAGCGACTTGGACGACACCTCTCGTGCTCGTCTCCATGCGTAGAACTGCAATGCTTCAGCACGGCGACAGCTCACGGACTGATCTTCTGGCCGGCAGCTACAGCAACAGTGTTGCTGCAGGCTGTGGTTTTGGTGTTCTGTACCAAAGGTACTTGCTGCCTTGGACACTGCGGCAGTCACATGGCTCCGTCAACTGTTGTTGGCTATGATTAACACGTATACTACTTCTCCTCATCTCCAAAAAGAAAGATGCAATATTCACATGTGCACAGCACCATATCCAGGCTTCCCTCAGGACTGCCACCTCCCGCGCGGCGACGCAAACACCCTTCCATCCTCCTCTATATCGTACCCCCACCGCTCGTGTGCGTCAAGACAAGTGTCTAGAAAGCCACGCAAAGCCAAACACTGGAAAAACAATGCTATTTTAGGCAGTACAGGATCCTCCACCGAACATCCCTTCCTTCTTGCCTGTCTCTTCCAACAGGAGTCAGTTCTAGGCGCGCTACGACGAGAAAAAAATATAAAGATGTGATAAAACGCAAGAAAACAGTCGGAAAATTGTCATGCTCCAGTCAGCAGAACGCCTTGCAAGGATGAAATTTGTTCCCCAACAGCCGAGACGAAGCAATGAAAATTCTCTTTGTCGTGCCGCCATTTGTCGATTTTTTTGGTCGGATGCGAGCGTGTAAAAAGTGATGATGTGTAAACGTTTTTCATCGTCGACGAGTCTCGAAAAGCATTAAAAGAAAAAAAAGGCAAGTGAGTGTCACAAACTCATAGATTGCTCATGCAAATCATTAAAACGCGGGGATGATGACGGCCCTGCTGTGTTCCTATGTTCTAGCGGATATGTAATCGATCCTCTCGGCACACACCGTGGGAATAGCGTCTTTTTGTGTGAGAGAGAGGGGGGGGGTATAGGGGATAACGGGGTGTAACGCAGACATATGATAAATATGATATACAACAACGGTTCAGGGATGAGGTCGTCGCCCACCAATTTCGAAATGCTCCTAAACGTTTGCACTCTTGGTCAAGGACAGTCCACGGAGTCTTGCCTTGAACCGACCGCCCTGAGGCGGCTGAGCGTGAGATTGGCTTGATTCGATCCGTGACAGTCGAGCTGCCGAAGTAAAGTCATTACTCGCCTCGAAGCTGGGTCGGACGCGATCCATCGACATGCGCATTCGGTCGTACGACGGTCTCGCGCGTTCTGTCGAATGACGACCCTGGGCGGGGACGTCGAGCGACATGCGGTTCGCAGTATAGTTTGTCGAATCGCTGCCGTTTTGAGTTCTATTGTGGGTTGTGGCCCGCGTAGCCGTCGACGGCGGATATATTGGTCGCAGGTCTTCGTCCACGCTGCCATATGTCATGTGCTTTGCTTTCCTTGGACTCTCGGACCCTGACTTCCCACTAGAGCTCTCTGCACTGTCGGCTTCTCCTGCAGCGCCCTTGTCAAGATGAGCAAACCGTCCCATAAGCTCTTGTTCCCTGATGATATCGACGTCGTATGGCCAATAGACCTTTTGGAGCGCCTTGATAGCGAATCGAGGAAAGAGGCAAATAACGGGAACGAGAAAGAAGACCGCCCAGAAAGTCGCCTCTCCGTAAACCTGAGCGGCTGTGTTGTAGAAAAAGCCGGATGAGGTGAATGAGGTGTAGATGCCTGTCCAGAAAAAGATGAAAACATCACTGATAACTACAATAAGAAGCATGAGCCAGTCCCAGCGATACGTGTTGATCAAGATGTACCCGTTGATGGCCAAGATGGCCGGATGGGCAACGTATGCACCGAATCGAAGCCTGTCCTCAAGGCCGAGACCATCCAAGGTCACTGATTTGGCAGGGATAAAGAGCAGGTAAGGAATGAAGAAAACCATAACCGACTGGTAGATGCCGTCGACCATGTAGAGCCTAGTGGTGTTGTGTTTGCTGTTAGCACTTCGTCTCCCACGCTGCCGGACGACTTACAGCGCAGGTTCGACTTACCAGAACTTCTTCTGTGTCCACTCCAGACGCTCAATACCGCGGCGATAAAGTTCAGGCACAGCAAGAGAGACCTTGTCCGACACATCCTGGTCGAGGACACCCATGATAGCAACAGGTACGGATGTAAAGAACAGGTTGAACATGAGAATATACGTATAGTCGAAAAGATAGGTCATGTCGTAATCGCAGAAGGCCTCGTACCAGAAGATGGCAAACGTCCAGACCATGTTCTTGTAGAAGAAATTGCTGATACTTTCTGCTAGCCTTCGATAGGACCATCGACCGTGAACAAGTACCAGTCTCTGAAGGAATCGGAACTGGGCAATCGCATAGTCCGAAGACATGGCGGCCTGTCGACCTTCCAATCCGGCAATTCCAACGCCAACATCGGCTTCCTGTATCATGGCTACATCATTTGCACCATCGCCAATGGACAGGGTCATAACATCCAATCCATTCTTGACCATGGCAACAACGGCAGCCTTTTGGGCTGGGCTGACACGGCAGCACAAAACTGACCGGCATTGCTTGCATAACAACAAGAACTTCTGTTTCAGCTTGTCGTGGAGGGCCCAGCGAAGCGTGAAGCCATCAATCACGACCCCGTGTGTCGGGCCAGGGGGTTCGTGGTTCTTCCTAGCCAAAGCAAGATCTTGATCACTTCCTGTTATGCCAAAGACCTGAAGGTATTGATCCAGTTGCTTTTCAACATTCTCAAGGAACGCATCGTCTGAAGTCTCCCCACTCTCGTCTTCTTCGACTCTCAGGTGAATCAGTTCCATGTCGTTACTGAGTAAATTGCAGGAGAAGCCAATGTTGATGGCCGTCTCGACCTTGTCGCCGGTCAGGACCCATAGCTTAATACCAGCCTTGGCAAGCAGAGCGATAGTATCGGGAACGCCATCCTGGAGACGATCCTCGATAGCGGTGCCGCCAAGGAGGTAGAGCTCTTGTTCAATCATGTCCGCCACATTTTCCAGCTTCTCTTCGCGATTTTCGAGAGCCGATGCAGCTTCGTCATGCTCCTTCTTCCAACTGCGGTATTCGGCCTCGGTCAAGTCTTTACGGGCAATGCAGAGCGTACGAAGACCTTCACGAGCAAACATCTCGAGGTGCTCGGCGGTCTCACGTCGAAGTTGCTGCTGCTCACCTCGCTTCAACCGCGCATAAATGACCGAGTCGGCTCCCTTGCAAATCAAGACGATTCGGCCGTCAGGCATTCTGACAATGGAACTCATGCGCTTTCGACTGGAATTGAATTCGATGGTATTGAGTATCGGATAGTGGCGTTCTTCACCCATTACGTTGAGGTTGATGCCGTCGCCTGAGTGGCCCAAAACGGTGAAGCCCATATCACGAGCCGTGGCTACCAAGGCTTCTTCGTCGGGAGATTGCGCCTTGAACGTCATTTTGGGGGGTTCACCCGGAGTCTTCTCTGCAATGACTGTGTGGCAAAGGGCCAATGCTAGCATGAACTCCTCAATGGCTGATTGCTGCTCTTGGCCATTCTCTCCAGCCAGGTCGGAGACGAAATCAGGGGCAATAAACGTCAGGGCATCGTCGTGTAGATATGGGTTGTCGTTGATTTTGCGAAGGCCCTGGAGGGCTCGTACCTTGGCTTCAGCAATCTCGGCCTGAATACGAGCCCCCTCCTTTTCGACATCCACGCCCATCCGCTTCTGCATACCAGCCTGTGCCTCGGTGTATGCTTCGCCGTAGGGTTGCCCGTTGACTGTCGCCTTCTTGAACTCCATGACGTTCTGCGTAAGCGTACCAGTCTTGTCTGAAAATATATACTCAATCTGGCCCACGTCGTCGGATATGTTCCAGGACTTTGGGATGCAAGGCTGGTCAATTGGTTCATAGTACATTTCGACATCACTGAAGATGAAAATCGCCTGAAGCGTCCTCACGACTTCCAGCGTGATGTAAAGTGAGATTGGCACCAAGTTCTGAAACAGAATGATGGCAGCCCAAAAGGTGATGAAACCGCTCATAGGGGCACTTCCACCAATGGACTCAAACTCAAAGAAATGAAGAGAAGCATCAGTCTTGGCCCAAGCAACACCATTCACAATGGCGGCAAGAAGACACATGATGAGAAGGATTCCAAAATTGCAGATGACGTTGAAGTTCATCTCTCTGGCAATTCTAGCTCGCTTGCTTGGTGTAATACCGGCATTCATCATGATTCGCGTGTCGTGACCCGTAAAGACAACAACACCGAGGACCCATTCGGTATTGCGCAAGTTGCAGCCTCGAAGCAGAAGATTGTCAATGGTGATGGGTTCAGTCATATCCTCGGGGTCATCATCCGGATATCCCGGCACAGCCTGCTGCCAGTGAATAGCTCCATTATATTTGTACAGATTGGGATGAGGCGCTTCACTCTCAATCCTGAACTCGGCACGCTCGGCGTCACGGGCATGCCTAATCGATCGGCCACAACGAAGAGCTTGTCGGACTTTTAGGTTAGTCTCGCCATCCAAGTTCTTTGTCTCGACGTAACAGGCTCCATCAGGATCGGATGTAGACAGGATGATGACGTCGGCGGGCAGTTCGTCGTCGTTGTAAATACGCACGAAATCACCAACCTTGAGGCCTTTCCAGGTATCCTTGTTGAAACGCGCGCCCTTGGATGGCTTCGTGTAGTTGATCAGGTCAGATTTCATGTCTTGGATAGCAGCGGCACGCCTTGCATCTTCCAGGTCAGGGAATTGAACGTGAGGGACACCATTTGCAGGCGTCGGGGATGGTACCGGTGTCATCTGAATCTCTTCCTGAGCATCGACAAACGGTTCCCGGTTTCCGAAGGGCGAGGCAATGGATTCGCGAATCGACCTCCGTGTCCGGACCGTTTCTATCGAGGGACGGGCCTCCTCTTCCATCTGGGGGTTTCGCTTGCGTTCCTTGCGCTCGGCTCGACGCGTCCTGGCCTTTTTGGACCATAAGCTTTCGACGGCATGCCAGATAGAACCAAAGAAGCGCGAGTTGGCCTTTTTGAACTTTCGCCACGTTGACACATTATCTTCTTGAACATTGACGTTGTTCCAGTTGTGCAGTTTGTGGACAGAGGCGTTGTTGAGCTCGATATCCAGTATGGTCCTCCGGTAGTCCTCTATAGCGTCTTTGGCCGCGGTGAGGACGATGATGACGATCAGGGGAACGGCGTTCAAGCCCGGGTTAACGCCGCCAAAAATGGGGAAAATCTGCAAGGTAGAAGTGATTAGTGCTCATCAAGACGGAAAAAGCGAGTCAAAGACCACAAAGGCACAAAGCAAGGCTTTCGGGTACGCACAACAAGAATGACCAAGAACAAGAAGAAAATGTTGGCCACGTTATGAAATTGAAACCACAGATTTTTAGGAATGAAGGACAGCGGCGTGTATTTTGCGGTACGGATCTTGTTCCGGGGAAAGGAATATATAGGGCGGCCATCTTCAATCATGTCATCAGGGAGGGGCATGTTGAAGTACAGAGTGCGAGTCGAGTCCTCGTCGTCAGACTCGTCGTCTGTCTCGTCTTGCGGGTCGTCACTGTGATGTTCGTCTCCGCCGCCGTTGTGGTGAGGGTCACGGTCTTCGAACGGCGCACCGTTTCCGTCGTCTCCGGTAACGCTTTTTTCGGAGTGCATTCTCCTGTGCACGCGGTTCAGGAGGGACAGCCGCTTGGTGCGGCTGCTCTTGACCGTCATCTTCCGGGTCGCCCATCGTGCTCTCTGGGTCTGGGCGTTTGACAACATGGCATCCGGGCCAGGGTCTGGACTCGTGGGTGGGCTCATGGTGAGTTTGAAGTAGCGGGCGAATGCCCGTTCAACTCGGGAACGCCAGCCAGTATGCGAATCGTGGGCGACGTGGGAGAAGTGGTGAGGGCGAGTTGCAGTACAGGACCGTTGGCGCGATCGGCGCGAAAGCAAGGTCACACGGGAAGCAACAGCGAGCAAAAGGAGCAGCACCAGAATTCCAACGGCTGGGTGCCGGCGTGACGGGTTGAAGGGAGCAGTCGTTTTCGTCGTGAGGACGAAGGTTTGTTTGGGTAAACTCTCAATTAGATGAGATTTGGAGTCGAGTGCAAGGTGGCCAAGCGGGAAGGAAGGGAAACGCAATTTCGGGCCCTCGAGCGTGGCACTGGCACTGGCGCTGGCGCTGGCACTGGCACCGGCGGCTCAATCCGCCAGCGATCTGGTCAACTGGCTGCGCTGGCGTCAACTGCTCGGGGCGGGCACCACATCGCCTGCGCCTGGTGCGCCAGGGCCCGACGTCAAGTCTTCATTGGAGCTCTCCAGTGCTCGCTGCGCCGTTGACTCGAGCGCCCGCCGGACTTTGCGGGTCGACGGAGTACCAAGCAGGGTACTCTCCGAGGTAGCGAGATACGGCTTCACGCGCGACAAGGCGGCTGGCCAACCACGAATCGTCTAGTACCCAGTACCTAGCTCCGAGCGTGTCGGTACGCGTGGGACCCCGGCACTGCAGTTGGTGGTAGCTCGGCCCCCTGCCACGCGGCTGTATTCTACCGGACTGCTTACTTCCCAAGTACTTACCGCCTGCCTGCTTAAGTATCACTGCTTCAGTACCTGGGTAGGTACTTAGGTAAAGAAGCACTTAAGTACTGGGGCACTTGTTAAGGATTATAATGCGTGTTGGTCATCTCGAATTTTTCGCAAGCCTGGTGTGACGCGTCACCGTTGGACTATCGAGTCAAAGCAGCTGCGATTCTCATCTGTACACGGAGTATGCATAGGCACTTTGTACTTACATACCTGCTCGGGTTCTTGGGTAATAACTTAAGTAGGTACTAGGCGCCGGTTGTGTCCATCCATAAGAAGTACGTACTTAGTCTGCATGATCAGCCCCCCAGGGCTTGCCGGCAAGGGGCATGTTGGCATGGTTGCAAGGGTGCCGCCAATACTACAGAGTACAGTCAGCCGCACCCAAGTCAGTCCTTGGCTTGGAAATCTTAGTCGGATCAGTCGACATGACTGACTGACTTGACGACGCAATGCTATTTCCTACTAGTCCTAACGCATGCGCAACGCAATCCGCTCAACTGTGGAATTTTACATATGTGAAATGGCAGTTGCAGAGCGTACTGTTCGGAGGTTCTATCTACTTAAGTACTTAGGTACATAGGTACGTAGGTATGGAATACGAGGTAAAGCTCGGAGTGCGTAGTACTAAATTTGCGGTCGCTCACGTAAGCGGGTAGCGTTTTGAGGACGGAGGTGGCAGTACTCCGTACCTGGTACTTGGTTCCCGGCCCATCCGGTCGTGGAGAATTCTTCCTGCCGTCTCTTGAACGGCAACGGCATTGACGGCGTGAATTTTCAGCGTTGGGAGGATAAAGGCAACCAGTGGCTCATGTTGGTTTTGGGTTGTGTGAGTTGGGAGTTGGCCCGGCCGAACGTGAACGTCCGTCAGCAGCAGCAATTTTAAAATAGCAAACCCTCAGCAGAGCGCAGAGCTTGCCTGTCATCGCCCCAAACGATCCGATGGAAATACGTACGTACAGAGTACATACAAGCGCCACGATGGTCTGGACTAGTCGCATAACGTCCGGTAGAAATTGACTAGCAGCTTCGGCCTTTTTTTGTGTCGTGATTGATGAATGACGATGGCACTGCCCAGCCCAGCCCGTGCACGCCATTATTGCCATTCATGTTCCTCACGCGCTCCTAGACGCCGGGTGCCCCCTCTCGCTAGCATCGCGCCATCCACACATGCACACGTACGTACGTACAGGTACTCCGTATTCTCAGCAGTATGACAAGAGCCCCTAATTTAGGTGCGGAACAAGGGGACGCGCTTTGCTCGTGCCAAGCGGTGGCTTCCTTCCCTCCGTTGTAGTACGTACGTATTGTAGTGCGGACACAGTCCTGGTCCACGTTCCGGGGGCTGCCGGGGTTCGGCTGGGCGTCCAGTCGACGACGCCCCTGACTTACTTTATTTGCCCAGAGGTTCGTCATTTGGGTCCCCTCTCGACCCGAGTCTGCGTGGGAACAGTGCAGACGATGAGACACTGAAGCATTGCAATGTGCAATCTGCAATGTGCCGTCTCGTCTTTCGCGTCCTGCCGCCCTCCCTGGCGCGCTTAAACCCGCGATGGCATTCCTGCGCCCAGTCCATCCCATTTCCAATTGTCGCTCCGACATGGGCATGGTGATCCCTTGGTTCCCAGCCTCGACGCCAGCTCCAATCTGCAAAGTGGCGGCGGCCTCGGGATCCGCCCCCATCGGGAGTGCCGGTTGTTCCATCCTGCGTTGTGGCGCCAGCCAGCCCTAATCAATCCAGTCTGTTGGTCCAGGTTTCCTACGTGGCCGGGAACCGGTCATGACAATCAAAGGTCATGAGCAGCTGCCAGCCAGCCATCAACAACAACATCAATAACGAACCATCATCCCTACGTCTTCCAAGCTACCTAGTCGTTTCGAATCGCACCTTCCGTGAAGCTCTGGAAGTCCTGTCCACGTTCCCATTCGGCACTCGGGCCACCTCCACTCGCGCCGAAACGTGCCACCTGCATCCGCACAAAGATATTGATTCCACGTCCCTCTGGTTGGATGTAGCTCAGCGCGGTGCGACCACGACTCGTTCGACTACTAGTAAAACGCCCCATTGGGCACATTGAAACTCTCCGCGTGCCACCGTCGAGTCTGTCGGTATCTGTTCCTGGCAGCGAGGCGTTATCTCGTCGTCAATTCGTCATCATCGTGTCTCGCCCACCCCTCGTCACGCAGGACTGATCTCTGGCCCCCGATATTCCTCCTGACATGGGGGTTTGTCCTGGATCGATTCCATCGAGTTTCTTCAAATAAACACTAGTGTTTACTAATAGCCATGGACGTTGTTTCGATAAAAGCGCGGTGAAACTCGGCGCTTACCCATCCTTCGTTGTCCCGGATCCCACAAAGGTCCCTCTTTGTGCGGTGTTTGAAAGCGCTATGATTACACTCAAGTGCACAGGAACAAGAATGCTGACAATCATCTGTGGCCAGGCGGCAACTACGTATACACCAAATAACGTTACCAGTCATGGCGTGGTAGTTCCTTGGTGAGAACCAGCGACATCATCGAGCAAACACAATGTCCACGTCTGTCTGGTCCTAATCACGTACGGAGTAAAAGGGCGGGGATCTTTTATTTGGCACCAACAAGGCAAAGGACGACGAAGCCCAGCTGTGACGAGACCCTTGTCGATCAAAGTGAACCCCTGCTGCAGACCACATGACGACCCTGCTGCTGCTGATGTTGATGGGCAAGCCGTGCCGACACGGCCCTTCCATCAATGTAGATGCGGTCATAAAGTAATTGAATGGGGAAGGGCATGCGTAAACACTGTACGGAGGTTGCCGTACGAAGCACTCGTGCTGGTATTGCAATTGCGGACTTGGAACTGTCCCACGGGGCCGCTTCTACGCGACAATTACTGAGATGCTGAAATCTTGATTATGCCGGGGTGGAGAACACCAGATCAAATACGGAGTAACTAGTAGACGAATAAGCGAATACGCACCATCTTCAATTCATCACTTGTCGTATTTTCGCATCACATTGTAATATACCCGGCAAAAGCGCCGAGACAGAACCGCATCCCCAACTTCTCCCGGCCAAGTTCAAAAAGTTTGGTCACTAGGATATGCCGGCGTAGCATAGAATACGATCCTACATGCTACATGGAGTTGGTGTCAGTCAGAAGTAACTCGACACCTTCATGAACAACCCGTCTTTCCCGCACATGTGCCCAGTAGTCCAAGTGAATGGTCCGCCAATCAAGCGATTTCGACGAATTACAACATGAAACTGGGGATGAAAATTCAAACAGAAACAACCTGCATCTACAAACTCCGCAAAACTGACTGAAGGCACATGACACTGCAACACCGCACCGCCGAGTGCTCCGTAGCAAAGTTCAAATCGACTAGCCCGATTGGGTCCCGGCGCGGTGGCCGCCTCTGGGACGCGACCCGGGGCTCTCAAGCTGCCGCACGTGGCCCCTGCAACATCACAGCGGCCTACGTCAGTCAACATTTTGGATTTTGGTTCAAAGGAACAAGCGCGTCTCGCACCGCACCGTGGTAACGCGACTCGAAACGGGCTGCGGCGAGCCCAGAGCGGCACGCTTTTTTTTTTTTTTCCTTCCTTTTTCCTTTCTTTTCGGGCACGTCGCTATGCCCGCATCGAGCTCCAAGAAACTCCCAAACAGAGGCGGAAGGGGAAACATCCTGAGCTTCTTCCAACCTGTTGCCGCGGCACCACGACCTTTGCGAAGCCGAAGCCCGGTAAAACCCTCTCCGTCCGCGCTGTCCTCGTCTCCGGAGCGATCCGTCACGCCCTCAAAACGAGCGGCAGCGGAAATAGGAGCTTCCGATGACGACGACGAATCCAAGGGTGAGTTTTCGGACGACTCGCTCGAAGACCTCTCGGCCATGCTCAGCCGGAGCAAGAATGCGGTCCCCGTGGAGCAAAAGGTGCAGCATAATCCGTATGCTACACCCAGGACAAAACGAACAGCGGCCAAGTTTGCCTCGCCGTTGGCCATCATGCCGAGACGCAAATTCGACATGAACGCCCTTGCAAAGGATGCACGGCAGGATGACGCCACCACGGCGAGCTCGCTCAGGGTGAAGGAAGTCGTCAGCACCGCCAGGGCCAAGGAGACGAATATTCCGCCCTCCACGGCGGGTGACGCCATTGCCGGCATCATGAAGGATAACGGAGGACAGAACGCCCAGAAAGTGCTTCGGGCCGTCGAGCGATCCGGCACCTCTCAAGCGCAGCCGAGATACCTCTTCTTCGAGGAGGACTACAAGGCGCCGGCCGCCCCCAGGGCTCCGTCTTTCGCGAGAGGGTCCCCGTGGAATCTCCTGACGCAGGGCAGTGCCAGGGCAAGAGAACAGCATTTGATGTCGGGGCTGCCGCAGACCATCTTGCGCAAGAGCGGCGGCCTGCCGGATCCGCTGTTCGACTGGATGCTGGACTCGCTGTGCGTCCAGCCGTCAACCGTCACGAGGCAGGAATACTGCAACATGGTGGCCAGTTGTGCAGAACAAGTCGAGCGCCTCGTCACAGCCGAGCGGCTGCGGCAGTTGTTCGCACGTCTCGGGGCGAGAGATGCCCAGGAGTCGGAGTCGGGCACGCCCCCCGCGTCGAGTGTACGCGGGTCGGATCGTGAGCCGTACGAGGGCCGCGACTGGTCCTGTCTCGTGTCCTTCATCTCCCTGCTCGGACTCGTCGCCGGCCACTTGTCCGTCCAGGCTGCGGGCTACGCTACTCAGACGCTTCTCCGACTATCGCAGGATAGATTTCTGCTTTGCACCGCCGACGTACTGGCCGGGTTCGAATACACGACGCAGCAACTCACCGCCGCCCTTCCAAGTTCCTCGTGGGACAGCTTCGTAAGCAACCACGCATGCTCCGCCGCTCTCATCTGCTGACGACGTCTCCAACAATGCACAGTGCTTCGAAACCTGCTCCCTCCTCGGACGGGGCCAAGACCATCGCACCATCAGAGCCACGTCCCTTCTGTGCCTCCCCATCTCCACCAAGCGAGTACACGACTTGCGGAGGAGGATAGCAGTCGCATCGCTTTTCCAGGACGACTCTCTGGCCCTCCGCAACGCTGAAGACGTCGTCACTCTCCGGGGCATCATGGACATCCTCGACACCGACAGCTTCGCGGTCACTCGCAAAACGGATTTTTGCAATCTCCGCGCCAGCATCATTCTTCTTGACATGGCCATCGACGATGGCTCCGTGGTCAAGTTCGACCACGTCGACGACGAGAAAAAGTTCAACGAGGAGGTGGACGAATTGGCCGGCAAGCTGCAGGAAATCTGGAGAAAGATAAACGACTCGGGCATGAAGTTGGCGAGAACCGAGGCAAAGAGTGTGGTGGAATGGGTGCAGAAGCGGCTGTCGCACAGCGTTCGGACACGAAGAAAAGTAAGAAAGAGCGTGTTTGATTTTCCCGGGCAAGATGAGGATCCTTTTCTGCCGAGGCAGAGAGACTACATGAGAAGGTTTTTTGCAAAAGACGGCGACCGCGACGTCGCCCCCTGTTGAGGAACCTCTTCCTGTCGAGGTGGAGGCGGAAAGGGTTATTTACGCCAAGGGCTAGGATCTTCCTACCGAAATTGACGAGTATACGTACCATCGTTTGTGCCGGGGGTTGACTCCTGAGTTCTACTCAATGTTTCATGATGTATGACTATATTCGGGAACCTCGTGGGTAATCACGAGGCAGGGAACGAGGCGTTCAAGGAAGATGCAGCTATACCCACTTTAGACGTTACGGACAGTGAGAAATACATCTGGTTTATCTTACAGCCTCTAGGCTACGGTCGCATGGATTGAGTACAAAAAAAAAGGGACGACAATACAAGACTTGATGCTGACTGTGAACACGACGCTCTTCCGCACACATGGGCCTTCCGTAAACAGGTCGCTCGGCAATGCCCGCCTAATAAGGCACATGTCGTCGAGCGAGGGAGTACATTTGCCAATCCTTTCCCATTCATTGAACCCTGACGAGGCAATCGACTAGTTTAATCAAAGAATTTTCGGTTAGGGTTCTTGCCAAACAGGGCTTCCCGGACGGCGGGAGCAGCAGAGTCCTTGAGCAGCTCCAGCCGCCTCTCAAAAGTGTTGTTGATGTCGATCTTGCCGCTGCCACTGACAATGACGACACCTCCACTTCTGTTGTCCATTTGGTTAGTCGGCGCTGGAGGGGAAGAGGGGGGACAAGTACGTACAGCCCCTCCGGCAAAGGATTTGCCTCGTCAATCTTTCCCTCAACGTCCTTGCCAACCTCCTTCTTGTACTCCTTGGCAGCCTCGTCGATGGCCTTCTTGACGACATCGTAATCCTTCTTCCTCGCCTGGATCTGCGGCGTGGGCTCGTTGAGAGCATAGAAGCCCTCCAGGATGACGCCCTTGAGAATCTTTTGGTACTTGGTCTTGTCCTTGGTACCATCCGCCAGTCTCTTCTCGGCTTCTTGGAATATGCTGTCGAGGAGCTCCTGGCGAGCGCTGAGAACCTTGAGCCGCGTCTTGTTGGCAACGGTGGACCGGGTGATTTGTTGCGACATGGTGGCCTGTTTGAACTTCTTCTCATACTGGCTGTCGATGGCGTCGGTCTCTTGGCGGACGAGCTTGGACTTTTCGATTTCGAATTCTTCGTTGGCTTTGATTTCAATCTCGCGGGCCTTCTCCATGGCTTCTTGCTTGATGAAGGCTGTCATCTTGCGGAGCTCATTGTCGACCTGGACATGACGAACAGTCAGTATGGTTAGTTGGGCCATGTCGGCGTAGGGACGAGTAGGAATGGATGTAGATGATGGATGCGTCCTGGTGCTCGTTTTGACACTGGACAAAGGGTGGCTGGCGGTGACGATGGCGTACCTGCTGGTCGGACAATGCGTGTTGCGACATGCTGGGCGAGGTTGTGAAGAGGTTGTTTATCTGCGCGAGAAGGATGAAGGGAGAAGGGGACGGAAGCAGCTACAATGGTTGCTGGCTGGTTGGCCTCGACGAAGGCGGACGAGGTACGGGATGTCGTCAGGTTGGAGATGAAGGTGCGTTGCGGCCGGAGTTGAGTGAGCTGTGACGGACGCCACGGGCCAACCAACCGGTAGCCACAGCTTTGAATCCGCACTTGCTTTGTCTGGCTACTACGTAACTAAGTACCTAGGTACCCACTCCACTACTCCGTACCTGCACTGAAACTTGAGTGTGTACGGAGTACGGAGTACGGAGTACGTACTCGGCTACTATGCGTACTAGTGCTCTGCCCAGCCTCAGACGACTTGGACTCAAGCCACATAACGACAAGCCACACACTTCCGAAGGAAGCAGCACCCCGCTGCCGATGCGCATGACGTGCATCACATGAAGAGGGCCAACAGGGCATCCAGCACGCAGTCCGGCCCCACGCCTGGCTGCTTTGCTGCGTTTTGAGCGCCTGCTAGCGCTGGCTCCCCCTTGGAGTCAACAATGACCCGTCGGGTCCAGGGTGAGGCGACTCGCTGTAGACCGCTGTGGACCGCTGGAGACCGCTGGAGACTGCTGGAGACACGCTGCAGCTGGTGACATGACCCCCCTGGCCCAGGCATGTCCAAGGCACCAGGGCCTGCCTGACCAGACCAGACCGGCTGGCCAACGCATTGCATGAGCGCTCGTCTCCAGTCGGCATTGATCCTTTCATCTTCCGTCTTCTGCACCAACGTTCGAACATTGAACCCGGCCACGCCCCGGACTCGGACAAAAGATCCCTGGGCCCAAAGACTTCGTGCTTCACCTTTGTTTGGCCTCATCCTCATGTCAGGCCGTGTCTTTCGCCGACTTGATTCCTGCACCCTGCTTCGTACGTTTGCATCACCCATCGCCATACTCGTACGCCCCAGTTCGCCATTCTCCCTCGACTCGTTCGACCGCCGCGTCGCGTATCGCTAGACATTCGGTCTGCTGAGGTGCTGGGAACCCCGTTTCTTTGGTGTCCGTGCCGCCTTCTCTGTAGTCGCTTGTGGCCCTCGCTCTGCGCTCTGCAACCCGTACACCGCCTGCGACCCGGCATTCATCCTTTGCACGCAAGCTTCGACCCGACCCGAGAGATCCCCGTCCTGCCTCGGATGGTTCCCCAACCTGTCGCTCTCGGCAACGGCTTCTAGGCGACAGGCGGGAAACTTCTATGCAATCGATAGCGCCATCCGTGTCGTCGTCCGCCGCCAGATGCTGGTGCCTGGGGTAGCCGCGAGATGAGGACCATGGGGAGCATCTCCCCCGGCGGGAGCATAGCGGTATGTGGTATCCGGGCATGTGCCTCGCCATTTGTTTCCACGCGGTGCTTTGCGTGCTGATGGGACCTGTTGTTGTAGCTTGGTATCCTCGTCGGCTTAATATCGACCGGCGTCCAGAGTCTTGGCCTGACCTTGCAGCGGAAATCGCATATTCTCGAAGATGAAAAGGGGCCTCATGATATACAGCGTCCGCCATACCGCCGGCGGAGATGGCAGCTTGGCATGGGAATGTTCGTCGTGGCGAATCTCTTGGGCAGTACGGTGCAGATTTCTACCCTGCCATTGCCGGTGCTTTCCACCTTGCAAGCCGCCGGCCTCGTCTTCAACTCTATTTGTGCGACGCTGATCCTTCACGAACCCTTTACGCGATGGTCTCTTTGCGGTACGCTCCTGGTGACGAGTGGCGCGGTTTTGATTGCGATATTTGGCGCCATTCCGTCGCCGGCACACGACTTGAACGAGCTACTTATTTTGCTGGGGCGAAGGCCTTTTATTGTCTGGATGGCATTGCAAGCCCTGTTTGTCGTGGGCCTCGGCACAGTCACCGACGTCGTCAATAACGTGTCCAGCATATCACACAATTCCCGATTCAGACTCGCCCGCGGCGTTATATACGGTGTCATCAGCGGAGACCTATCCGCACACGCCTTGCTCTTCGCCAAGTCAGCTGTTGAGCTGTGTATCAAGACGGTCGGGGGCAGCAATCAGTTTTCCCACTGGGAGTCGTGGATGATTGTGCTCGGCTTGGTCTCCCTCGCCCTGTGCCAGCTCTACTACCTGCACCGAGGTCTAAAGCTGGTCTCGACCTCTGTTCTCTATCCGCTCGTGTTTTGCGTATACAACATCGTCGCCATACTGGATGGGTTGATATACTTTGACCAGGCGAGCCTGATCCCGCCACTTCACGCCGGGCTCATTGCCGTCGGTACGGTCATCCTGCTCTCCGGCGTGCTGGCCCTATCGTGGCGGCTCAGCGACGAACAGCATGCTCCCGGCGTCGGTCAGTCAACGCTAGCCCCGGGACTGGGACTCGTCGACGACACCGAAGGCGAGGACGAGTCCCTGCTCAGCTCCGAGGCGGCCGTGGACGAAGAAAGCAGCTCATTGGGCTACCAGACGTTCCCGGCCCTGAACGGCGACGCCACCGCCCTGGTGACCCCGACCCAGAGGAAGAACTTGAGGTGGGCAGAGAGGGCCGAGATTTGGGGCGAATTAGAGGACCAAGAGGAGCCCGCTCCTCCGACGGGACGGCTGCGCTCCATGACCATGCCGGGGCAGTCGGAGCTGTCCCCGTTGCTGCCTGCCTCGAGGAGGTCGGCGGGCGGTAGTTTTGCGGCAACAGGCGAGCCCGCCCTAAGCAGCGAGCCCGCCCCCCATAGATTCGGCAGGCGGCGGAGGAGAAGTACCGGCTTCCCCGGCCTGGTGGCGCGGCGAAACACGCGAAATCGGCAGTCCTCGATCTCAGAGTCCCTCGGCGGCCTGTTCCAGTCGATTCCGTGGCCCAGAGGACGCGGCATGCCAAGGTCCCAGAGTGGCTTCTTCACGGCAGACGACGTGCCACGGCGGTACCGCGGCGACAGCGAGGCCGACGACGCCCCGGGCCGGGGGGGGACGAGGGGCAACGGCTCGACCGTATAGGCGGTGGCGCATCGGACTTGCCGTCTCCTCTTTTCCGTTGTTTGCGAAGGCGAGGCGAGGCAAGGCAAAGGCTGGCATGGCGTATTAGACTGGCGCACTAGATGTTTGAACCATTCCGGACGGGTTATGTCTGTACGAAGACGAGTGGGGGACACACGTCTTGAGTGGCGCCTTGAGTCGGTTCAAGAGTATTTGAGCAAAGGCATTAAACGGGTTTTATACACCTTGGGCTTAATATCATTCTACAATCATGTTAAGAGGCATTGAAATACACAGGCTGGCAATGGTTGTCACGGGGCACTTCTGGTTCTTGAATAGGTTGTACAATATATTGCATATCGTGGGGCCTGGATCAACCAGTGTATCGATCGCTCTTGTACTTACACAACGGGCGGTCTTGTCCAGGGCGAGCAGGAGCACGCCGCCGTTTCACTCGACTCGGATCCTCTCCAGGACGCGAGCCCCAGGACGTCGTCCGTACTACGGGCCGAGACACGAAACGTGCTCCGGCGGGTCGGAATGCCGCCATAATCCGGCAGGGGTGCGGAGCCAGGCAACTACAACCAAAAAAAAAAAAAAAAAAGACGGATGTGATCATCCAGATTGAAAACGCTAAAACGCCGCCACCATGCATTTAAAAAGGGTTTCTATACCGGCCAAACTTTTACATGGCGCGTTCCCGCCCAGCACATCAAAATTCCAAGACATTGCCGTCGTTCAAAGTCACCGCCACGCGCGCCACCCTTTAGATCTGTTGGAAACCCGTCTTCTCGTCAATGTGGCGGTAGCGTTCGCGCTCCTTGCGCTCCTTGAGGAGACAGGCGATGCAGAGGAAGAGGATGGCGTCAAGTCCTGCATTCCAAACTTGAGCGTCAGCTTCCACAAGTCACGCATGTTGCTGTTTTTGGGAGTGCAAGGGGAACAGCAGGGCAGGGCGACACAGGGCGGCAATCCACGTACCCACGATGCCAAAGAGCGTGGTAAAGATGCTGTTGATGTACGAGTTGGCAAAGTTGGAGACGGCGGCCCCGCAGCCTCGCAGGAGCGCCGCGGCCGCGGGCGATGGACAGGTGGGATCCGTGACGAAGGCGGGCGTGGTCGAGTTGTAGTACCCGCAGCACTGGAACTACCCTCGGGGTCAGCTGGGGCGGTTCTTCGCCGTGCAAATGGGAGAGGCTCGTGCTTACCGACTGCTGGATGAGGGACTGCCCGGCGGGATCGAGCGATAGGTAGGCTGGGAAGAAGGCGTCCTTGAGTCGCAGGGTCATGATCCAGAGGAAGACGCCGAGAGAGAGGGTGAAGAGGCCGCACAGGGTGAGGAGGTAGCCGGCGAACTTGAGCCAAAATCTCATAGGCGTGATGAGGCCGAGCATGGCAAAGGCAAAGGCGGCCAGGGTGACGATGCCGTTGGCGACGCCGGCCGTCAGCGGGAAGACGCGGTGGAGGTGGTTGCGCACGACTTGCTCGCCGCTTGAGGGCTCGTCGTCCATCTGGGCCTGGACGATGAGGGAGAAGGCCAGCTCGAGGCAGCCCGAGGCGAGGAAGAGGATGCTTATGCCGAGCGTGGTGGCGAAGACTTTGTTGGCCATGGTTTTCTGTGATGTGGTGTTGGTGGTGATGGGGTCGTGACGTGGGTTTCCTATGGTCGACCGGGCCCGTATTATTACTATTATTTTTGTCGTGTTTGTTTTTTTGGTCAAAATTAATAAGATATTAGAAGTCGGTGGTTTTCTCTCTTGACGTCCACTCGCGGGGTGCGTTGGGCTCGTGATTCGAGTCGGAGCATATCTCGTCTGCTCTCGGTTCGGGTTGGCGTCCTGCACCAGTATACCTTTGTGTCTAGCGCACGAAAGAAAATAATGATTATAGCGACAGATAACCAAGAACGAATTACAAAGATGGGATTAAACACAACCAAAGAGGTGTGAATCAACTGCGACTCGTAGTTTTCCTAGGCGGAGAGGCAGGGGGGGGCGGCTCGAGGGGAACTCGAGAGACTCAAAACTCAAGGGAAGGACGGCCGAGGCGATTATGGACAAGGGAAAAGAAAAGATTGGAACTGAGAAGATCTAAAGGTATGCCGGATACCCAAGTGAAGGAAGGAGGCAGAAGAAGCGCGCAAGCGACCAGCGGCCAAGAAGAAGGGAAGAAGACGAAGAGGAGGAGGAGGTAGCGCGGTGCGCGGTGCGTCGTGCGTGGTGCGTGGAGCTGCCCGGCACCAGCAGGACCAGGAAGGAGCGTCCAAGACTCGCACGGGTGTGTGAAGGTGTGAACATGGGCGTGGACGTGAGCAGCGGCGCTGCACTTGCGTCCTGAGAACGGTCCGACGGTTCTCGTTTCAGGCCGGTGTCGAGCCCTGGCGCGGGCCAATTCCGTCCCCGACAGCCAATCGGAGGACGGCATATGGTGCCAAGCCGCCTGATTAGGAGTCCTCTGATCCATTTTGAGTTTGGGACGCGTGCGCCGGCAAAAGCTGAGGTCCGGCTCGTGCTAATTAATTATTTCATCTACGGCGGGCATCCCAGTCACACGCAGGCAGTCAGTCAGAGTGCGCGAGGTGCCAGAGTTTGAAATACGAGAGAAAGACACGTAGTTGACCAGCCACGTGACCGAGTGGCCGAGTGACCGAGCCGAGTTGACGCGGTGCATTGCTGGCCATGGGAGCCGACGGGGGCCGGTTTGAGGCATATCCATGTCAAAACATGTGAAAGTGTGTGTGTCTGTGTGCGCGTCTGTGTGCGCGGTCTGTGTGCGCGTCTGTGTGTGCGTCTGGTGTGTGTGTGTGTGTGCGCGGCGGCCACGACAACACAACGGGCATTGGTGCCCTTCCTCGACCGACGCATAGACGCCGCAGCAACTTGACTCAGTCGTAAATTAGCTGGTCCCTGACGACATGTGCCGTGACAGCTTACCCACCAACACGTGCTGTGCTGACATACTTCGTACACAGATGGGGAGGCATGACTACTTACCTGGGTAGGCAGCACTGCTCATCGGCCTCGACAAGAGTCTTGACAACAAGACCGAGAACGCCCCAGCAAACTCGCCAATAACCTGAGCAGAGACTCCCCAGAACGGAAGGGACATGGACCACTGCACCATTGCGTGCTTCATCCAGCGTGGTTGTAGTTGTATCCGTACGACATGAGTCAACTGCGGAGTACGTATACTCGGTGGTGGCAAATCGTATTATGTACTCCGTATGCGACTTGCAATGATCCGCTCCATAGTCGTACGTGCCATATATAGTGACTTGCTTGTCAATGCCGTTAGCCTGCTCTGCATAATACATGTGTGCAGTATTTTGACATCTGACAGATTCCCCGTTGCACCACCGTTGGTTGACACGGCTTGCCGACGCCCTGCGCACTGGCTCTGCTGCGTCTCTGATTGAGCTTTGCCGTGTCGTGCGCGTGGAGAGAGACACCGGATGGCCAGTTCACAGTAGGATTTAGGATTCCGTCGTCGTCCGATTTGAATGTTCCTGACTGGCGCTGTTTTCTCCTATAAAGAAAATTTAACCAAATAAATAAAAAATCACGAAAAGCAACCAAGTCTTGAGCTGCAATTGCCTTTGACTCTTTGGCAAAGCTAACCCCGGGGAAAAGGGAACAACAAGGAGCCGCCACGTGCGAGACTTTACCCCATCATCCCATCAATACATACTTGCCGATTGGGCCATGTATGCCTCCATCGTGCCGCATCGTTGTGATGGTCGTCGTCGTCGCCGCCGATTCTGAGCAACACACTGTCACCACAGCTCAAGGGCCCGAGTTGTGCTCCCTGTATTCAACAGCATTGCCAGGCAGACAGAGAGACAGATGACGCCTCGCCGCCCGAGTATCACAGCATTCGACCAAAAAAAGCATCGACCGACGTCGAATTGCTCGCCTCGAGACAATCAGACACCATCCACATCTGCCTGAGCCGTCTGGTGGTGTTCCATCCACCTTGTTTGCCACTCGCCGGCCATCTTTCATGGCATCATGCTTGAATCACCAACCACAAGGATGCGAATGCGCGCACGCCGTGCCATTCAGACCCAGTTTCCTGAGCCAGTAAAACGCTTCATCTCTGTTCAAATGTCCAGCCCTGGTCACAGTCGCAGGTTCCCTTGTTGTCGTGTCGTCGTCGTCGTCGTCGTCGCCGTCGTCGAATACTTTGTCAGTATCTGCTTGTCCCGCCAGTGCTTCCATTCCCCATCTTTCAAGTTCAAGTCGTCTCAGTTCGTTGGCGACTGTCTCCTTAATACAAGACATCTGACGGCCCAGCTTGGGAGCCAAGCCTCCCGTCATTTGTTCCTAGTAGCTGACTTCTTCATCAAAGCTCCGGTATGGATCCAAAGTCCCGCTGTGGTGTTTGCCAACATCGGGCCAGGGCTTTGTGGTGCCCATTGATCATTCATTCTGTACTCTTTTTCCCTTTGGCCACAGTCAGTTCTCATGTACGTCCAGCGCCGATACTGTCCATCATGTTGGAACGTGAAGATCGTGCCGGCCAAGACTGTCAATGTCACGTCTTCAGGTCAATTTGTTGAGGTTGTCTCCGATGGCGACACCGTCTCGCCACCATCACCAAGTGTGCTGTAAACAGACAGACTGTACTTTTACTCCGCACAATATACAGTGTCTGGGGAGGGAGCGCATGGCTCCGTCTGAGGCACAATTCCGTTGCCGTCTATCTATTGGTCATTCATCACGTTTACTCCATACTACACCATGTCCAACTTGGATCGTCTTATTTGGCGAATTCTCTGTTTTACCAGATCAGTTTCAGTAGGGAGTCCTCTCTATAAGGCTCCTTCTTCCGCGCATAGAAGCAAATGTATTAATTTGATGTTGGAAAAGGCCGGTCGCATCCGGGGGACTTCCACTGTTTGTTGATCATGCATTCTCAAGACCACACATGAGTCTCAAGCGTACAAGACGTCGTCATTCTATGATTGACGGGGATGCGACGACGGGCGAGAAGGAGCGCTTTGCCTTGTCCCTCCTCTTTGTACTTCTCCGGCATTACTTCTTTACCAAGGTATCAATTGATGTCCGCCAACGAGCTAGGGGTTTAATCTCGGGGCCGTAAAGGCCACACGGGAGCATCCGGCAACGATAGCCTCTACGACGCCATGGGTAGCACGTGAATCAGCTCCATGTAGGTGTAGGGCGCTAGTTCATGAGCGTTCCCGGCTCCAACTGTGTGATTAGAGAGTAACTCCTGACGTCGCGAGCTTCCATCGGCCATCCAATTTGCTCAACTTGCGCATGGTAGTCGCTTGCCAAATTGACCAAAGCCGGATAGTGAGATCCCTTCATTGTCAAGGCAAGAAGAGGCAAATCAACTCATACATAGACTCGCAATTCTCCCTTCCACATTTCAACAATATTCTGTCCATGCTTCGGCCCCACGTGCGTAGAACACTCGACCGAGTCCCTGTCCGTCCAACCATGCTCAACAGGGCACGGAGGAGAGGCGTGGCGCCTGCGGTATGTATTTTTGGCAGGCCTCTGGGCTCAAGGAACATTGTAGAGGGCCCAGCGAGAGCGGGGCCGAGTTATCTTTTGGGCAAGCTTTGGCTGTAGTTTGGTAGCGTGCTTTCATCGAAGAGGATTGCCAAGTCTGCGGCTGGCTGGCTAGTCCACACAGTCTCTGTGGCTTCTTCAAGTGCGCCAAGGTCCCTTCCGTCTAGCATTGTACAGCAGCCCGTACATATGTACTCTGGTCCTACAAGAACAACCCATGGAAAAGCCAATGTGGTGATGGTCTGATAGTCCTGGCGGCCCGGTTTCACGGTTAGTGGGACCACAAACAGGAGCCAGCTCCGAAACAACGGAACTAGTAGTAGCACTGCCCCGAGGACAGGATACTGTTATGGGGGTGTAATAGAAAGCAACTAGGGCCAGCATCGTCAAGCAAAAAGGCGGCCAGCAACAACTGCCCGTCCACTCCCGAGTAACAGGTTGGTTTTGACGTTGGTGCAATGATGAGATTTCCCGCCGACATCGTCTATGATGAGATGATGTATGATTGTGTGGATTCCTGTACCAGTATTAACATCCAGGTTCCCCTGCCAGGCGGGATGACAAAGATGGTGGCTTGATATGCTTTCGGCTGGGGTGTGCTTGGAGCCAATGGCGACGAGATGAAGAGGAACCCTGACCCGATTTCACTATCTGATGACCCGCGTCTAGCAGGTAGTATACCGTATGTATGTACTCCGTATATGTATGGGAATTGCTGGCTGGTGACCAATGATGTTTGCCTAGTTTCCCAACTGCGGGCAATGCACAGGTCAGGCTACATGCGGACTATCGACGGGCAGGCCTGGCTCATGGCTTGGATGGGCTGTCTCTTGCCGCTGAATATGGTCGAGAGAACCGCCGATGGTTTGCTCGGGTCTGCACGCCACTAACGTACTACTCGGTAGCATCAGCAGCACACCAGAAGCATGCATGGATGGAGCATGGAAGCAGCACATGTGCGCACCTGCTACTGCAACCCTGCCCTCCGCAACACAGGGCTGGGCTGGGCGATGCGATCGATGACTGCTGGCTGCTGTGTCGTGTCGTGGGCTTTCGGTTCGGCAGCTCAAACAGACAGTCTCTGCACGACTCTCTGACTGGTTGGCTGTATGACTGCTTGGCCGGGCAGACGGGCAATGGGTTGGCGGACAACCGGAGGAGGGGAGGCATTTGATGAGTGGGCGGGCGAGCGCGCGACGGGGCAGCATGTGGATATGGATAACATCGAGGTCTCAGTCTAGGTGTTGGCGTTCGCATGATGCTGTCTCTTGAGCTCGCCCTGCTGTCGCCCAGGTCGAAAATCAACAAGACATTGAATAACGGAGTGCTGTACGGAGTAGCAATTGATAGACATGAGGGTGGCTCGAACCGTAAGCACACTGTGGAACGACTGTGCGCATCGCGGCTGACATCCCATCTTGCCATGGCATTCTAAAGCCGACCGCTGCTGACCCATGCTTGTTTTGAACCCACCTGAATCCACCCAGCCAACGGACCTTCATTCCAGCAGGGCCACGGGTATCGAGTACAGTGCAATGGGCCCACCAGCCTGTAGACAAGCCCCAGCGACCCCGGCAGCAGCCCCAGCAAGACTGGAAAGGGAAAAAAAAAAGGAAAAAAAAAAGGAGCAGATTGACCCCAGCCGGTTCCTTCCCCTGGCCTGCCACTGCGCCATCTTCTCTCCACGTCCGAGGTTTGCCCAGGTTGCCCAGTCGCCCAGCCAGTTGCCAGTCACGGCCAGCCCACCCAGTCCAGTCTGGTGTAATCCTGGTCCTCAGGCGGCCAGTCATATGCCGTCTGTGTCGTCGCTTCTCCTGCCAGGTCCCATTCTGTCGCCAAGGCGGAATCTGGAGGGCCAGCCAGCCAGATGCTAGCATCCGCCATTCATCATCCAATTGCCATCCGACCCCCCATCCCCCCCATCCGCGTCCATTCCCCCCATCACCGTCTCAAGAACCCACCATATGGACATAGATCGGTACATTCAGTACGTACGAGGCGCGAAGTGCACTTGTGCTAACGAAATGCACTCGAGCACTCCACAACTCCGTAGGATGTATGCACATCCACCACCTACATCCAACGCAGAGCGAAAGACGGTCGGTGGTCATCTGGACTGGTCGTCAGTCAGCCGGGCACACGCATACTCCATAAATGCGTATGTACCTACTCCGTACATGCAAGGCCAGGCCGTTCCTTCCTTCTGGGTGCCTCGTGCTTTGCACTTGTGTAGTACTAGCGTGTACGGAGCAGGGAGTACGTACTCGGAACTGCGGCCATGGCTAGCTTAGGTACCTGCCCACCTTGGGTACCTACCTAGAGTACTTAAGTACTGACTTACCTAAGTACTCAGTAAGTAGCTACTCAAGTACTTAGTATGGCCTCTGCCGAGCTCGCATATCGCCTCGTCGAGCGCGCCGTGATGCTGCATGCACGTATGATAGATAAGAAGCCGACGGGGCCAGCAGCGTTTTGTCTGGTGCATCTGATCTGGAGCTGGGGCGATATACTCGGTACAGGCATCGCACAATTCAGCCAAGACGAGATGGAGACGCCAGCCGAAACACCTCTCCGGCCTGTTGCCTGTGCTCGCTTCCTTCCGCCACGCGCATCCACCCCGCCCACAATCCACTCGAGTCGTCCGGCAGACGTCCTGTGTCTGGCGGGTGGGAGAGGAAAAGAAGAGAGAGAGAGAGCGTGTGCGTGCGGGTGCGTTGTGTGCGTGCGGGTGCGTTGTGTGCGTGCGTGCCCTGTCCTGCCCTTGCCTTGCCTGGCCTGGCCGCCGTGCCCAGTCGCCAGTATTATCCAGTGGCGGCCACCAGTCACAGTGACCAGTGTCCACTCACCGTCGTGCGCCGCCCCCCGGCTTGTCTTGTCTCCCCCAGCCAGAGCAGCAGACACCAGACGACCCAGACCCAGACCCGGCTTGGCCGCTGTCAGCAAAAGGGTCTGTCTGGTCGCCTTCTCCTGCGACAGAAAGCACGCGAAGACGCCCCCCCCCGCCAGGCTATCCGAGAGCACGCCCAACACGCGCTCGACTCTCGACTCGACGCTCGGCCACAAGGCACATACCTACGTGCCTCCCTCCTTCCTCCGCTCGCACCGCCAGATCCAGTATAGATCCATCGGCACCACGCTCAAAACAGCATCTCCACCACTTTGTTCCCTTTTCAGTCAACTTTCAAGACGTCGACTTGTACAAGAGCTCATTGTCACTTTGGACAGCTCTTTTTGCTGCAAAACTGCTTCATCTTGGGCTTCGTCGCGCTCCAGCCAAGTCCTGCTGTGCGCGAATTCTCCCATTGACTTAGTCACCACCTCGTGGAGCTACTTGGTCGTCGACTGCTGTTCCTCCCGCCACCCGACTTTCTCTTTCCTCATCAACCCACCAACTAACAACCGTGTCCTAACAACGTCAGCTCCTGCATTGGACCCTTGACCCTGATCCAGAGGAGCGTTGAAACGAGAAGACAGCAACAATGGCCGACATCACCGATCAGCACGACCAGACCTCGCCCGCCGAGCTTGACGAGTCGCAGTCGGTTGGCAACGGCAACGCCGCCACAGAGAGCCGTGGCATCAAGCGCCAGCGTCAATCCGCAGGCGACGACGACGACGACGACGACGAGAAGGGCGGCCGTGAGCGTCGCAAGATTGAAATTAAATTCATTAGCGACAAGTCTCGCCGCCACATTACCTTTTCGAAGCGCAAGGCCGGTATTATGAAGAAGGTTCGTTCTCGCTTAGCTCCTGCTCTCCCCCCCCCCTCGTCTTCGCATCCGAAAAAAAACCACTGCCTTGTCAAAATTTGCATTTTCCATCTTGTACAGTCCTCGATCTTGTTGGCTTCGTCGCATCACGCATCTTTGCCCCGAGCAAATACGCAATTGCCGTTTGAGCAAATGACGGCGGTTCGCATTTTGCTGACTATTCCGCCTAGGCGTACGAACTATCGGTTTTGACTGGCACCCAAGTTCTACTCCTCGTCGTGTCCGAAACGGGCCTCGTCTACACCTTTACGACACCGAAACTACAACCGCTCGTCACAAAGGCCGAAGGCAAAAACCTGATTCAGGTAAGTCTATGCTGTACTATCCGCCTGCCACCGAGCAAGGCCTGGCACCGATGTGCTGCTCGCCTCCCGCTTTCGCGCCGCCGTATGGACTAGCGATCTGTGCTCCAACACCGCGTTTGACTTGCGGCCAGTCCCCTCCAGCCAGTCCCCTCCAGCTCCCAGACATCTTGTTCACTTTTTGCGCCACTCCTAGGGGAGAAACGTTACGCTGACCATTGAACCTCTGCCGCAGGCATGTCTCAACGCTCCCGAGCCTTCTCCCGGCAACGAGAACGGCGTGGACGGCGGCGACCAGGTTGATTCGCCCGAGGATTCTGCCGCACAGCATATGCCTCCTCAAGGCGGCAGGCCGGGGATGCCGCAGAACCCACACATGCCGGGCAACTACATGCCCAACATGCCCCTTGACCCTCAACAGGCTCTCGCTTATCAGAGCTATGTGCAACGCAACCAAGGATATGGCTCGGGAATGCCTCCGCAGGGAGGGATGCCGCCCAGCAGCCACCATCAGTCATGATGAGGAAGATGGAGAGTAAAATATCGGGGAGGGTTGCCGGCGGGATATTACACAGGCAAAACTCTTGAGTGCGGCACATGGCACATCAGCGGCCAACCTTGACCATTTCTTCTGGACGTTGCTATATCATTTTGCGGGACTTGGGGTGATTTGGCGTTGATGATGTGTTGGTATTCGGGTTTTCCACGACGGTTTTCCTTTCAACCCTCGGCTCACAATTTGTCTGGGCCGTTCTCTGTGTCCTCAGAAAAGCAGAAGAATTTCCCCTGTCGTAACGATTTCTATCCCGGGCCGTCCTTTGCCATGATGATCATGATGATTCCGTGGCGGCTGGTGTTGATTCCGTCGAGAAAGAAGAAGAAGCGAAAAAGGGAAAAAAAAAAAAGACAAGTGAATGGTTGACTCCCATTCCCCTCTTACCTATCATGACGATTGGGACACTGGTTATGTTTTTTGAGGATCTACGAATGGGGTAGGCTGGTTGTGCGAGCTGCGTGTGGGTGAATGCGAGTACGCGCCAGACGTTACGAAGCGGCATTTGACAAGGGGTCCTGGCGACGGCGACGGCGACGGCGACTGCTGAACTATTCATTGTATGTTCAGAGGCGGAGTCTGTGGTTTGCAACGCAGATGCATGCACGAGGATACGAATTTGACGGCAGAGGGGAGGCACGGAAGCAGTTCTGGCTCTCTCTCGGCCAGGACGAGTCAAAAGAGACGGGACTGGAACGTCTCTGGACTCGTGGTGTCGGTTTTGGTGGTCGCGGCTGGCCATGTAGTTCATTCGCTTATGGATTTCTTCTTCTTCTTCTTCTTCTTCTTCTTCTTCTTCTCTTCTATTGCGTTTTCCCCTGCCCTTTTTTTCTTCCCCCCCCCCCATCTCCCTCTTTTACTTCTCTCCTGTGTTTTTCCTGCTCTTTTACTAATTGGCACGTTGACGAGGTGGCGGCGGTGGGTGAGGTGACGCGAGGCCGATGAAGAGGTTGGCGGCAGGCGGGCGTCGACCCAAAATGTACGATACTTTAGTCCTTATGTAGCAAGTCTACTCGATAGAGAAAGACTCGACTGAGTGCGTCTACTGTGCTGTGCTGTGCTGTGCTGTGCTGTGCTGTGCTGTGCTGTGCTGTGCTGTGCTGTGCTGTGCTGTGCTGTGCTGTGCTGTGCTGTGCTGTGCTGTGCTGTGCTGTGCTGTGCTGTGCTGTGCTGTGCTGTGCTGTGCTGTGCTGTGCTGTGCTGTGCTGTGCTGTGCTGTGCTGTGCTGTGCTGTGCTGTGCTGTGCTGTGCTGTGCTGTGCTGTACGGTGTCGGTGTCGGTGTCGGTGTCGGTCATGGTCTTGCCGGGCTACCTACCCGAGTAGTGAGTGGTGAGAAATGGCTAGTACTACTGCGCGCCGGCGCCGTGACGGGCGTGAAGCGAAGCTTCGCCCTGCGGCGTGGTGTCGTGTCGGCGCGCGCCGTGGCGCGGTGTTGTCGAAGACCACGTCCAGATACGGCATGGCACGGCGTGGAGCGGCACGGCGAGGCACGGCCACGGTCAGGGTAGATGACGAACTGAAGATGCCAAGTTCTGTGCGACCCGGCAGGGCTGACGGGCTGACGGGCTGACGGGCTGACTGACTGGGCCGTGCGGCCTGCGGCCGTGCGCGGGCCGCGCCAACTAACTTACTAACTACGTACGTACGTGCAAAGCTGCCCAGGCACCGAGGCACCTACCCTGCTTACTTGGCGGGCCTGAGCCCGGGGCTTGGGGCTCGGGCTCGGGCTCGGGCTCGGGGCTCGGCATGGCACAAGTTTAGCAAATTTTTCTTTTCTTTGCACTTCTCTCCTCGCGTCGTGCGCGAATGGCCTTGGCGGCGGAGGCGGAAGCGGAGGCGGAAGCGGAAGCGGAAGCGGCCGCCGTGCATGCATGGCACATGCTCCGCCTGATGAGGATGCGCGCAGAGCATGATTTGCCAGCGAGCACTGAGCACTGAGCACTGAGCAGTAGCAGTAGCAGGATTCGCGAGCCGACGGCGTTCCTGTTTCCTGCTCGGTGGTGCGGCGTTCTCGTACGGACACGGAGCGAGCGAGCGGTGCTGGTGCTGCTGGACGCGGGCTCGGATTCGTGCACATGCACGCCGGTTGGTCCGGATTGCTGTCTCGCGTCGCGGAGCGGTGGCGCCGCGACGAACAAGCCCCGGGCGTCTGTGACTAGACTGCTGTTCATACGCGAGCCGGCGGGCAGGAGAGAGAGGGAGAGGTATCAGGGTTGGCAGATGCCTGCCGGATTGGGCGACGAGACCGCCTGGACTGCCTTTTTGGGGACTGAGCTGTTTCGTGATTGGCGATGAGTCGGACGGGCCACCTGCGGTTTTTGTCTGTTTTTTTCTTTTTCTTGTTTTCTTTTTTGTGTCCATTTTCTTTTCTTTTTTACTTGTACCTTGTGTCAAATTTGCTGTTGTCTCCTTGAACTTTTGCAGAGCCGAGCCGACCGCGCCACGGGTGCTCATGCGTTGGAGGTTACGGGTTTGGATAGAGGGGGTCGAGCTTGAGCTGGTTGTCATGGGGCATGTTGGAGTGTTCTTTTTCTGGGCCAAAGTCGGGGGGCAATCTGAGACGGAACCATCAGATCTGTACCCTCTTCTCCCGCAACCGATTCTGTCGTCTGGTCTGATGTGTCTGAGCATTGCCCTGCTGGTTGTGGGGGCGGCGCTTAGTCACGACGGGGGCTTGTCCCCGGCACGGAGTAAAGTCGCTCCAGCTCCGCATCCGGCTGGGTGAGCACGTTTGAGAAGGTTTCCATCCACGAGGTATCTGTACAACCGGTACTTGCAGCCTACGGGACCTTTATTTCTGCAAGAGGAAGCGACTTCGCGTGTCTCCAACGAGGTGCTTTTGTGGCGGGACGACTTGATCTGCCTGCCAAGAAGACCCATGTATGTACTTAAATATGCATTCATTGCAGACCCTGCAGGTTCGAAGCCCTAGATCCAGGTAGGTGACTAAAAGGGAAAACGGGATGAAAAAAAAAAAAAAAAA